ATCGAAAGTGATAAGTGCTGCTCCTTTAAGCAAGGATATGACAACTTATATGGATTAAGAGACTAAACAAATAAAAAGCTTTAACTAAATATAAAGAATGAACTAAAAAAATGTGCACAAAATATTTGATTGATAAATGATGACAAAATGTAGATTTTTGTGCAAAAATTTCAAAAATCATTTAAAGGAAATTAAAGAAGAGAGCTCTTGAAATTTATTCAAATCAAAAAATTCATCAATTTATACAATATCTATTTATAATTGTTTTCCTCCATTAATCATCAGTTCTCATTTGATTGATTGTAAAATCAAGTTTGTTGCTTAAGTCATTTGTATAGCAGTTCGTTGGCCCATCTAAAACTAATATCTATTGTAAATGGATTTCTTCAATCTACAGTCAAAGTTCGTTGACACAGCCTTTTGTTAGCCGCAAACTATAAATTCTTAGTCACTCCAAGCATACAAAGCAAAAATTTCAACACCCAACAAAAACTGAAAATCATGGCAAATGCAGTTAAAATTTTGGAAGCTTTTGCGCAACTTGCAACAAAGAAACTTCCAAGCCAACAAACAACAACAAAAAAGACAAAAAAAAAAAAAAAAAAAACAAAAATTACATGCATAAATTATATAAAGAAACAAAAGCGAGAAAAATAATGTGTGTGCCGACTTGGCAAGCATATTATTTGCCCAGCAGTCATAAAAGGGCGCATACCTACACATAAATTAACATGTGTCTACATATGTGTATGAATATGAATGTATGTATGTGGACATACACACATATATCTATAATTAAATGCATCATCACTTTTGTTTACGGCTGATTGATATTGATTAACATGCATGGGACAAAACGAGACAAGACAAAAGCCCGAAAGCCAATAAGCAAGCGCCTTAAGTCAAATTACAAAATGCAGCTTAAAATAACGAAAATGCGCGCGCGCGCACACAGAGAGCGAGACATATTGAAATGCGAGTTTCCCAACTGTGTCCAAATGTCCATCGATTAGGGCCTGGGCGGGCGTGTCGTTTATTTCAACTTTTCACTTCAAAGCACTCAAAAATTCAAATTAATAATCAATCGATAGCGCAACTTTTGGAATTCGAAATCGAGTCGAATTTTTTAACTGATAAGCCCTGCGGCAGCTGCAATCATTAAGATGGACCATTAATGATTTATGTTGCCAAATCTCTGTCCAGTGACAGGGGTTGCCCAGCTCATAAATATGCCGACGATAAAGATCGACACACAAGCAATAGCATTGTATTGTGTATATTGTATATACATGCATATGGATGATCAAATTAACATGCAAAATTTCAAACAGAGACATTGAGCTTTGATTGATGGAATTGCATTAGCAAATCGCTTGTTATGCATAAGGAAGAGAAGCGTTGCCCAATCTATATGCAAAAGACGTGGAAGGTTCTAGCCAGCGCCACAAAAAATACTAAAGCACAAATAAATTAAAAGCACTAAAAAAAACCCAATACAAAAGTCAATAAAACCAGTTAAGGTCAGCCTGAGTGGACGTTGGCTTAGCTTGTTGCTTGTGTAATCAACATGTTTGCAGCAGATGCTAAATGAATTTTTATTTATGAATAATGTGACGATGGCAAAGTGGCTGCTGTTGCTGTTGCTGATGCTGCCGTTGTTGCTGATCACGTTGCTCGATGCTAAGCTACAATAAAAATAAAGTTTCAAGTGTCGTCGTCGTCGTCGTCACTGAGGCAGTGTGTCAGTGGCCGAAACGCCTCGGGCAACCGGTTCGCTGGCACCAATGCATCCTTGACATAAAAACCATGCGCACCAAGTTACATCTTCGATAAGCCACACACACACACGCACACACACATACGTATGCGCAACCGCACGCAATCAAAACAAACTTTAAACAGCATTCCGTATACGCACTGTGGTATACGTAATAAAAGTGAACAAACATTTTTCATTACTCACATTTTTTGGTATTTTCTTCTTTGCAGATGAAAGTCACTCTGGCGTTAGCGACTTTCTGCCTTGTGGCTGCCTGCGCCGCTGCGCAAAAGGGCAGAACCACCACAACCACAGGCACCAAGCCGGGTCGTTTCCTCTCCCTGCCAGTGCCCGCCAAGTGCGCTAGCCGTAAGTATAAATACATTTACATAAACCGTATACACATATGTATATACGTTTCACATATTTTAACCTTAACTGGTTGCCGGTTGGCGGTGTGGCAAAAAGTAAAAGTGTGAAACGTTAGAAGAATATCAAATAGCGCCCATGTTTGCACTTGAATTTGTTTGGCAATGCGACGTGTAGGTGTGCGCCACAGCCACAGCAATTACAATATATTTAATTGTGTTAGGTCGGGGGCGGTGCGAGGCAGCTGAAGGTCGCTGACGTGATCCGTGATCGTCTTTTGTTTTGGCACTGCATTTGGTCAGCTACGCACTTTCCTTGCCTTACTTTAGTTGAACGAGCGAGCGTTGCCACCTCGCTGCATTAGCCAGTGATGCCCAGCGCACACGGGAAACTGCAAGTCACGGCAAACGGTGGGACTCAAGCAATGTGACGGCGAAGAGATTGCGAAAATGCAACAGCTAGTTGTTAGATGTTAAATTCAAACAATAGCGTCATCGCTGCATATCCGGTACACTAATGAACACAGTTAGCAGTTGGCACTAATTAGGCGGCACACGTATACAACTGAATGCATACATTTGTGTGCATCCCGTTTAAATCTGAAAATGCAGCTTAACAATTTTGTTGTTGAGTTTTTTTTAGTTTTTTATGTTTTTTTGGGCAACAACGTCAGTGTGACTGCCCATAAAGTTGCACAGCCAGTTTTGTGCCGTTGCTATGGCTTAGATCTTTCATCTCTTTAGAAATTTCCAGTTATACAAGCACAACTTAAGTTAACTTAAACTAATTAACTATTCAAACTTAATTACCTGATACAGACGGCGTCGATGCTCGTTAATAACAGCTTTCAAGCATGCAAACTGCTTGCGCTTGTGCTTGCTTTTTTAATTTACATTTCAAAACGGATTTTCTGAGATCGAGATTCTGTGTAGATGTCTACACAGATAGAAGTTGTTGTCTACTTTGGGAAGTTGTTTGGCAGTGATGCAATTGGCTATTTTTGTACGATTTTCATTTTTCAAACTGCATGCAGGAAATGTGAATGAAAAGGGCACAGTAATGGGACTTTTTTATTGCCTTGACCTGGAAGGTGAGGAAATTTCAGCAGGCTGGCAGCATCGGCCGAAATGATCATAATAATGTGCAAACAATGGCAAATAAGGTCATTATGTTAGAGTTAAGCTGATTTGAGTTGACGGCGGATGGACGAACGAGCAGGCAAAAGGCAATTGCAAAAGTGACGGCAACTGACGTTGCCGTTGCCGCCGCTGCTGCTGCTATGGCAGCTTTAAAGCCGCTTAAAGCGCGCCTAATGACGCGTGCCGCCAGCAGCAGCAGCAAAAGCAACAGCAGCTTCAATGGTGGCAACAAGAGGCGTGGCGCAGGCGGTCGCGTTAAAAAAATAAAAGCCAAAATAAACAAAAAACAAAAACAAAAGCAACGCAGCAGCTAATCAAATGCACTGCAGTAGCCGCAACGGTGGCAGCTCAGGGAGTCAGCCATGTGAAACAAGTTTCAGAGAGCAGCAGCCGTTGAAGCGGGAGGGGATGGACGAGGCAGAGCTGGAGTTAGCGTAGGGGGGAATTCCATTGTTGGCCTAACCAATTTTTTGTTTGGCAAAATGGAAAACCTTTTGACACACAGACAAAGGAAAGCGGGCAGGCAGACGACGCGGCGACGCTGACGGATGAAGACGGGAAGAGGAGGAGGTGAAGCATCAGCAGCAGCAACAGCAACAGCTTGCTGCATAAATTGTTGGCAAAGATTGCGCAACTTAAAGTAGGGGGAAGTTGTGTAAGCAGCCGTGGCATGATTTTGCCAATCCACGAGGTAGACACCCAGTCGTCAGGCCCTCACGAACCACACCTTTGACTACCTTCGACTACCAGCTATCGAACACTTCCTTTCATAGTTTTTTTTTCTTTACAGGCCCCAAGGAATTCTCGTACCGCGGCAAAAACATGTTCCTAAGCACCCACGTGCCGGCGCTTGCCAACAGGAAGGTCGACTGGTTGGATGGCCGTAACCTGTGCCGCGAATACTGCATGGATCTGGTCGCCCTGGAGACCCAAGAGAAGAACAACCTGATCTTCCGTGTCATTCAACAGAACGATGTCCCATACATCTGGACCGCTGGCCGCATTTGCGATTTTGCTGGCTGCGAAAACCGCCCAGATCTGGAGCCCAAGAACATCTATGGATGGTTCTGGTCCGCAACTCGCGAGAAGATCCAGGCCACCAACCGCATTCCACAGGGCTGGGGCTACAATCCCTGGTCGCAGACCGGCCACAAGAAGCGCCCACAGCCCGACAATGCTGAATATGACATCAACCAGACCAAGGAGCAGTGCCTCTCTGTGCTGAACAATGTCTACAACGATGGCATCGCATGGCACGACGTTGCCTGCTACCATGAGAAGCCCGTCATTTGCGAGGATAACGAGGAGCTGCTGCGCTATGTGGCGGCCACAAATCCGGGCATTCGTCTATAAGATGTTCATTATCTTCGTATTGTTTGTGTAATTTTAAAGCTACTTATTATAATACTCCCTAAAATCAGTTTTTTTTTGTATAATTCTTGTTTAAATATGTGTACGACGAATGCAAATACAAATAGACTTTAGAATTTATAAATACCCCCGATCTTACCACCTACACACATATATAGACAGATGCCTAAAATTCACAACTTCTCTCGTTTCGTTACTGCCAATCCTACACGACTCTACATTTTCCTACAAATTGTATTTATATAAACAAAATTTGTTAAGTACGAATAATCACGCCCTAAAATCTCTTTAAAATAGAAAGAAAGAAAATGAAAAGTAAAACTCACCAATTCTATTGCCGTGCAAAAAACAAAGAGATTGAATAAAATGTTGTAAAAATTCATTAAAAACTGATTAATTATTTAAAGTTCATCGTATATACTTTGGTTTATTTGACACGCCGACGTGGCGGAGAGCGGGAGTGACTGTGATCCGCCTTAGAAACGTGTTCACGGCCTGATGTGGAACGATTTCGACTGCGACTGCGACTGCGATGGCCAGAGTCTTGGCCAGCATCTCGACTATGATGTAAGCTAGAGTCCCGACTGCGATCTCGGACAGAGTCCGAGTCACATTCTTGACTAGAATGGCGGCTAGAGTCTCGACTGGAATGATAACGGTTCCTGCTTTTATCAGATTTGCATTTAATATCTCGCTCATTGCTTTGTTGCCTTTTGGCACTTTTGCTTGAAGATTTGTCCTGTTTCAGTTCCAGCTCGGGACTTTCCGACCAGCGCCAGTTGCGAGATTCCCGTATATTATCATGCCAACTAAAACAGAATACAAAACTTACTACCAATTATTCGATATAAATTGATTCACTTACCTGCTTGCTCTGTTTGTAGGCGTTCTACTGCTAGAGCGTGTGCTCTTTGGTGTATCGTAGAGCTCCAAGCTACTGTTAAACAAATTGTTTGGATTGCGAAATAGGTGGAGATAGCCACAGCTGTAGCCTTTGGGACATTTGCGTGTTAAGGACAAACCTTTAAGACAAGCAACAAGTGGAGTAAAAATATGGAAAGCTATAAATGAAGTAACTATAAAGTACGCGATGGTATAAAAGTTAATTCTAAACGGACGAAAAAGGCGCTCAACTAAGGCAGCTCTTGATTTAATTACGATATGTAAAAGAGTTTCATTTTCATTTTTGGTTTTAGCAAAGGATACGGCTCATGACATGCGCTTCACGTACCGCAAACGGCACCACGCCACCCCTTGAGATTTGAGAACTCCACTTGAAGGCGCCTGGATGCATAATAACGTCCTTGCAGATTAACAAAGGCGCGCAGTGCAAAGCTAAGTAATATATAAATATGTGTATATTAATGCAAATGTAATATAAGAAATAAATATTACTACGAACCGCTCCTTCGCGTACTCCACAAATACGTGACCTCTCAGATGGGGCAACGTGTTGCGCACTGCGCGAAAATTTAAGATTTTGCCGAACTTTTCAAGCTCACCAATCGCATCGCGGAAGAACTCATCATAGTCACTGCGTAAGTCCTGCTCTGTCAGCTCCAGGTGCTCATCTGTGCTCGCATATTCCTTGTGCGTCTCACCCACTTGTAGCAGTGGGTGTGTGAAGAAGTGGCGTATTAATAAGATCTTTGCGAGCATGGGACGACGATGATTGAAGGTGCAACTGTTGCCGTATCGGCAGCAATTGGTCCGTGTATAGAACTCGCATAATTTCTCTGCAGGATTCGTTTCCACCACACGGCGCAGCTCAGCTGGCGGCGTGCGGTCTTCACTGTCATCCATATACTCTTGCATACGTTGCAGCATTGCCTCGAACTCAGCTGCGGCTTGTTCAGCCAGTCTTTTACTCTCTTCTCGCCTTTTCCGTTGCTTCTCCAGTTCTTCCTCCAATTCCTTTGCTTGCTGCAATCGTAAGCTCTCTAGTTTCGCCTCTTCCTGTTGACGCTTAGCTCTATCGATTTGGAATTGACGTTGAGCCAATGCTTCCCGACGCAACCAGGCTTCTTCTTCCTCTGCTCTTAAACGTTCACTGGCCTGGCGCTGAAATTCTTCGAGCTCCGCTTGTTGTTTTAACCACGCCTCATACTCGGGCTTTGCCTTCAATGCTTTTTCTTCCAATGCCTCCTCCTTCTCACGCGCCCGCGCTTGTCTCTGACGTCGCCGTTGTCTCTGTTGTTTTTTCACTAGCTTACGCCAAGCTCTACAGGATTAAAAATAACAACAATAAATAGGTAAGCAATCTATATTTAAGCCTACCTTTTCGCCGGCATTTTCGTTTTGATTTCCTTTATAATGCATCACCCTGTACAAACAGTGTGACCACAGCGTGCAGTTCTCAAAATCTTTAGTGATGTCATTTTTAACATAGGTTGCCGCTGCTAACTACACTTAACATTAAAAAATACCATAACAGTTTCGTGTTTTCATTTTTATTGCAGTATACATACTCTTCTCTAAGTTTGTGTTTATAATAAAGAAATGTGTATACTTTTTTAAGGTTAAATTTTAACTGAGTAAACATAACTTTTCCCAGTTAACATTTTTAGTAACTGTTATTGGTTAGATGTCAGTGTATACCTACTGTATGTCAAATATAGTATTTTCGGTATTTGATTTTAATTAAAATAATAATTTGTTTGGCAACTTACGCATCGTCAGTACGCGGTCGCACTAACCATTTAATGTTTTGGTCTATTTTTTATGTAAATACTAGAAGAATTACCAAATAAAATACACAGCTTAAGGATTTGGCGCTTTGTATTCAAAACAAAATAAACGCTAATACCACGTCTGACAAAAGTTGCAACACAATTGCCCAAATAATAAGAATTCAACAATCGCCTGCAGAGGCAAAAGCCATGAGCAAAGTGCGCAGGCTGTACCATCAAAAATATCGCGAAGATTGGGAGCGATTTCCGTCGTTTTCCGAGTGGCTTTGCCGTGGCGACGATGGCTACTCGGCTCATTGCAAAATATGCGACGCCAATGTGTTGGCGCGTCTGGCATCCATTAAACAGCATCACAATACGGCCAAGCATCAAAAGGCGCTGAAAAGCCATCAGCTCGGGTCAAAGGTAAGCGAACTACCATTAGCACTTTCCAACAACTAGTCCTCCTTATTTCTCTTTTGCTCTTTCAGAGCATTCCCATTAAGATGGAGCCCGGCATAAAGGAGGAGCCAAAGCACATGACACAAAAATATATTTTCGCTACCAAGCCAAAACCAAAGATCATCAAACGCTCCAAACCGGACAAAGTGTCGGAGAGCATTGAGCAGGTGGCTTTGGAGCCAGACACATGCTCCAATGACTCGATACTAGAAGATCTGTTGGGCAACGATGATATGGAACAGCAATATCTACAGGAAATCAGCGACACGGAAATGGAGCAAGATGTTAAGCCTGAAGCCATACAAGAGTTCAAAATTGATGAAATGCAGGAAGAAAATCTGACTGACGATAATATTATCAGCGAATTCGATCTGTTCGGCAAGAGCGTTTCCCTACAACTGAATCACATGGAGGTGAGCGGATATATGACCTCATCTAATTGATATCCAACTAATATTTATTACATTGTCATTCCAGCTGGAGGATGCTTTGCTCTGCCAGGAGCGATTGCAGGTGGTGCTCACCGAATTCAGACTTAAGATTTTGAAGCGCAAGTCAAAACGCAACTTTTAAATGTAGCAAACGTAAACTTATTATCAAGCTATATATAATTACTTACATATATATATATATTGACAAGCATAACTAAATTATACACCGAAATAAATGTTTTGTTTATTCCGCCTCGATTTCATCGATAAAACTGCGACACTTTTTCTTCAACACTCGAACGGCTTCCAGGAATATTACTTCCGGTTTCAGGGCTCCCACAGATTCGACAGTGAAGATGTAATGATCACGCACACGACCCATAGTGACAGCATCGGCCAGATGAGGATACCGAAACACATTACGACTGCAGCTGTCGTAGCGTGCATCCTTCACATAGGCGCACTCATTCTCATCGATGCCGATGACTCCGGGTGAGAAACAGCTCTGCAGCAGATAGGCATCTTTGCCCCGCACTTCTCTAGTGAGTTTTATCTGTGGCAGCAGGCGATAGTAGGCGGTGGCCACTGGCGAGAACTTGGCGTGATCTTTTCCAATGCCCTTGACAGCAATCAGACGTAGATCCAACTCGTGTCCTGGACGCAGCTGTGCAATTAATATATCCTCATGGATGCAGCCAACGCTGCTTTCGCTATAAATCTGTGCTTGTTTGCCCTTGGGCAGCCACTTCAAGTGCCCTGAATAGACCTTGTGATTCTTATAGATATCATCAAAGTTTGATTGATCCTTGCTTGCATCCTTACGCCGCGTGCATTTCACCTTCAGCTCATATTCCAGCGTATCCTGTTCGGTGCCCTGATCCGTGCTCTCCTCGGTGCGATAGGCGAACAGGCGAGGATCTGCTCGAAGCGGGATCAAACCCATACGATGGGCCAGCACCTCGTCTTGGATGATCGAGGTGTTGTTGTATATATAAACCTTTTCAATGGCCATGCTGGGTACCTCGCTGAGCATCAAGCGACGAAAAGCGTTCGCGATCGCTGGATAGACGCCAATCAAATCAAATTCCAAGCCATGCTCTTCATCATTTCTGTAATTGATGTGTAAATATAGTGGATATAGTGAATATAGCGGTACTTCGTGTAACTGTATTGCAGGAGACTTACCGTACGATTACCACTTGCAGTTTGCTTTTAAAAACGTCCATATTGAAGACCTCGTCTGCCAGCCCATAATCTTGTGGATCCTGCTTTGTTCTGTACTCCTCCATGTAGAGCAACGGTTGCTTTTTATGGCCAGGCATTTTAAAACGTTTGCGATTCACAAAAATCAAAAAGATGCAAGCACAACCGTCGACTCTGCCGCACGTGGTTGTTGTCAAAACAATCAGAGATGCGCAATCCTTGGCTACTCGTGACAGAGTCACTGCGACTGTAAATTATGTTAAAAATACTATGTAGATTTGAATAATTATTTAAAATTTCATTATCAACAACATTCAATGATATGATATCTATTTAAATTGATCAGTAATTAAATAAATTAACATCAAATGCACTATCGCAACAGACTTCTGACTTGTGTAATTACACAAGATTGGATCGAGTTGGCAGCACCGCACGCAGCCTTGTGAGTGTCAAGTCTTAGCGATTCAACCGGCAAGTAGGTTCTCCAGCAGCAGCTTTTACGTAAATCTTTGGTAAAAGCAAAATAAGTAATGTCGCGTACATTGCAACGTTTAATTGGTGGCTGCAGACGCTGGGCTCAATCGAGTTCTCGAACGCAGCTGCAGACACAATCACAATCATGGGGACAACGTTATATGGCCCAAAAAGCGAGTGATCCCACAAAGGGCAAGGGACCGATATCATGGAAGAGTCTGTCAGTGATTGGCGTTTTGGGCGCAGGAAGTCTTGCCTTTATGTTATATGTAAAGCATGAAAAGGATGAGGCACGGTTAAGGGAGCGCAAAAGACAACTGGGAAAGGTCGCCATTGGAGGTAGCTGGGAGTTGATTGATTCAGAAGGCGTGGTACGCAAATCGGAGGACTTTCTGGGCAAGTGGCTGCTTATATATTTTGGATTCACCCATTGCCCCGACATTTGCCCAGATGAGCTGGACAAAATGGCCCTAGTGGTCGATGAAGTTGGTACGTCTTCATGATATTTAAAGATGAATCGAATAATACTCATAATTTTCTTATAGAAAAGTCACCGCAAGCACCGCCAGTGCAGCCCATATTTATAACCGTAGATCCAGAACGTGATTCAAAGGAGGTAGTAGGCAAATACGTAAAGGAGTTCTCGCCTAAGCTGCTTGGACTGACGGGCACTGTGGATCAAATACGAAATGTCTGCAAAGCTTTCCGTGTTTATTTTAGCGCTGGGCCCCGCGATGAGGACAACGATTACATTGTTGATCATACCATCATCATGTACCTGGTGAATCCTGATGGTGAATTTGTTGATTATTATGGCCAGAACCGAGACAAGGATCAGTGTGTGGCATCGATTCTGGTCAACATTGCCAAATGGAATTCTATGAACAAAAAGGGCTGGTTCGGTTAAGCTGCCTGGCGTTGCCACAGAATTTGTTATATTATAAATTTTGTTTCGTATCAAGTTAGCAGCACTCGGCATAACAACCCTGTCAAATTTGTATACTCGCTCTTTTTGACGTTTGTGCTGCGTGGATGTTGCAGAAATTGTTTTGTTTTCTCGCAATAAATATATATAAAATACCAAAATGGTGTGTGTATAATGCAAATTATCCTAAGAACTTGCTTTAATAAAAAGTTGTTAATAGCGCCATTGAAGGGTGTGGTTGCAATAGAATTTCCTTCATTCTGTGTACAACATAACCTTAAAAGGCGGCTCTTCGTGCTGAATTTTTGCAATAAATTGAAATAAAATTGTTTTTTGGTTTGCAGCGTCCGTTGATGTTGCAGGGTCACGAGCGTTCCATAACGCAAATCAAATACAACCGTGAAGGCGATTTGCTTTTCTCGTGCTCCAAGGATCAGAAACCCAATGTCTGGTATTCGTTGAACGGTGAACGTCTCGGCACCTACGATGGCCATCAGGGAGCCGTATGGTGCCTGGACGTGGACTGGGAGACTAGGAAGCTAATCACCGGTGCCGGCGATATGACCACGAAAATCTGGGATGTCGAATATGGTACTGTGATTGCTTCCATACCTGCAAAATCTTCGGTGCGTACATGCAACTTCAGTTTCTCCGGCAACCAGGCAGCGTACTCCACGGACAAGGCGATGGGTCAGAACTGCGAGCTCTTCATCATCGATGTACGCAATGCAGATTCATCTCTATCTGAACAGGCACCTACGCTTCGTATACCCATGGTGGAGTCAAAGATCACCTCCATGCTTTGGGGACCCCTTGATGAGACTATCATAACAGGCAAGTTCAAAGGATAATTCAACCGGCGCTCAGAAATAATAAACTTCACGTTTAGGTCATGACAATGGTAACATTGCCATTTGGGATATCCGCAAGGGACAAAAGGTTGTTGACTCCGGCTCCGATCACACGGCAGGCATCAATGACATGCAGTTAAGCAAAGATGGCACCATGTTTGTGACCGCCTCGAAGGATACCACAGCCAAGCTGTTCGATTCCGAGTCTCTGATGTGTCTGAAGACTTACAAAACAGAGAGGCCAGTGAACTCAGCTGCAATCAGTCCTATACTGGATCATGTTGTGCTTGGCGGTGGCCAGGATGCTATGGAGGTGACCACAACGTCAACGAAGGCGGGCAAATTCGATTCGCGTTTCTTCCATTTGATATACGAGGAGGAGTTTGCGCGTCTTAAGGGACATTTCGGTCCCATTAACAGTTTGGCCTTCCATCCGGATGGCAAGAGTTACGCCTCCGGTGGCGAAGATGGTTTCGTGCGTGTCCAGACATTTGATAGTACATACTTTGAGAATATTTTCGAGTAGTTCCGGCCCGGTCTGTAGTTGTTAGTAGTTCCACAATCGTTCGTCATCATCGTCGAGGCGCGCCATGTATATGTGCATAGATAACTTTCAAATATATGCGAGAACAAGACGAATTATCATTTATTAAGTAAAACATTAAAAGCATATATATATGTGTATAATAAGTAGCAGGAGGCATTCGAGTCATTGCAGCCGATCTCTATCAAGACCTTAAAAGAAGGAACGTTTCTTTTGCTGCACTACGACTGGCTTGCCCTGCATGGCAGCCAGTTGTGCAGGTGTGGGTAGGCAACCAGGCGGAGGTGGCGGCACAACAACAGCACCCGAAACTGTGGTTCGCAAAGCGGCTCGTGGATCAATATTTAATACATGCGCTGCAGTAGCTCCGGCTGAAGTGCTGGGTCCAACTAAGCTGTATCCCTGCTGACCCTGTTGCATCGCAGGCAATTGTTGGTGGTGCGTCATTCCATAATACTGATTGCTAGGCACATGCATAGGCATCGCGGCTGGTGCACTGTTAACTCCTTGCTGCTGACTCTGCTCGTATGTGGGTGGCGGAGCTCGCTGGGAATGGAAACATTAAAACACAATCGCAATACGCTCTAACTAACACGAACCATGGAGGTAGCGTAATCATAGTTAAAACTGTAGGGTGGCGCATTGCCGGACTTGGAAGCTTCACCTATGTTTCGAGGCAACAAAATGATTTAAAGAACTATGCATTGCTTTTGTTGATTTATTTACTACCTGAATTTGGCTTGGACATGTCGTTGTGTGTTTACTAGAATATATTTTGTGAATTCGATGGAGCACTGCCAGACTGTTTCAAAATATTATTGCAATATTGTCATTCACAGTTAAACGTTGGCACGCATCAGCTGTTTGTGTGTCAAACGGGAGGCAGACGAAAACGTACGATAAGCTTGGCAGAAACAAAAAACGAAAAAATATATATTTATAACTTTTGAGTAACAGGCAAAATTTTTTTGTAATAAAAGTAATCTGTCAACATTCTGATTGCACCATAGAGAATGGCCCACGCAACACCGCAGGTTGGTATCTGTTCAAGTTGAAAGCTTCCGCGTTTCTGTGACGCAATCGCAACACATTTTTGTTAATACAATTTTGATTATAAATTGATATTGTTTATCAGGGCGTTAAGCTTCTAAATGGATTCAAGCGTCCAGGTCGCTTCGATAAGGGTCTCGGAGCTCAGCTGCCGGAAGCATACAAGAAATTCTGGCGCGAATGGAAGCTAACAAAGCCAGCGGCGGTGCATTATATACCCAAGGAAAGTGAGTGGGAGCGGGACGAAGTGACCAACGCAATCAAACCCGTTCAAAGCATACCCTTCCCACTCATCGATACACCGGAATCACACCAGGGTATATGGGGCGGTGAGGCGGTGATCAAAGGCTTCCAAAAACGCCACCCCACAAAGCGACGTGTGCCGCATTTTTGGGTGCCAACGTTGCGACGCTCCGTGGTGCACAGTCAGGTGCTCAATGAGTATATGTCGGTAGTTGTTACGGAGCGTACGTTGGAACAGATCCACGAGTGTCATGGCTTTGATCACTATCTACTCAAAAATTTGGCATGTGATTTGCGTTCGGCTTTGGCATTGAAGCTGAAACGCAAAATATTGAAGTCGCTGCAAATGGGCTGTCCAGCCCTAACCGCCGAACCCAATCATCAAAGTGAGGTGCTCAAGGAATACAGTCCATATCTGGCATCATATACGTCCGAGGAGATCGATTGGTATGGCCACACCTACCTCGAGGCTATACGTAAACTGCAAATTCAGTTACGCGCAGCCGAAAAGGTTGTTCCGCATAAAGTTGAGTTTCGTAGCAAATTGATTGAGCGTTTGCGCGAAGCGGGAATTGCGGAAGCGGGTAAAAAGGATCCAAGAGATTCTGTTTCCCCTGGCGATCACAGCGATGCAGACATTGATGCGTTGACAAAGCTGTAAGTATCCATTCCGGCTATGCTCCAGTAAAGAGCTAAATACATATTTCTATTACAGTGAATCGTCGACCCCATCTTCGAGCTGGTTGTCAAAAATAAATCCGTTTGGCAAGAAGGAAACGTAAAGGACTTTGCATTCAGTCAGCTACTGCTGGTTATATGTTGAAATTTAATACATTAAAACTCTTACTGGATTTATCCAGCCCGTCAAAATTAATACTTGAATCCTTGGTGTTTAAACATATTTATTACAAGTTAAGGAAACAGCATATAGACAGAAATAGAGAGACATTCACGATAAAGTAGTAAAAGAGGAATGATTGCAAATCCCGTCGAGGAAACATAAAACACTTTACATTCTTAAGCCTATATATCAATATCTATATATATGTATATAATGTATATGTATATGAAAGTTTGTGCCAGTTTATGCCCTGTTGCGATCCACAATCTATGCAATGGGATTCTTTTTCATCAGTTCGATGTCTGCGTTCATCATATCGGTGACCAGCTCCAAGAAACTCACTTTTGGCGTCCAGTTGAGCTCACGTTTAGCTTTTGACGCATCGCCTTGCAGAAGATCCACTTCGGTCGGTCGGAAATACTTTGGGTTGATGCGGACTCGTACAATATCCGTGTTACGTTCTACGCCCACTTCGTCCACGCCCTTGCCTCGCCACGTAATTTCACGTCCGATGTGCTTAAATGCCGCCTCCACGAATTCACGCACGCTGTGCGTTTCACCAGTTGCAATCACATAATCTGCAGGCGTGTCACGCTGCAGCATCATCCACATGGCCTCCACATAGTCGCTGGCATGTCCCCAATCGCGTTTCGAGTCCAAGTTGCCTAGCTCAAAATACTCCATTTGATTGAGCAAAATTTTTGCTACCGAACGGGTAATTTTGCGTGTCACAAAGTTTTCGCCACGTCGCGGACTCTCGTGATTGAATAGTATGCCATTACAGGCATACATATCGTATGCTTCCCTGTAATTGATCACTATCCAAAAGCCGTACATCTTGGCACATGCTGCAAAGGAAAGAAGTTTATCAAATTGTGCTCTGTAAATATTGTGTTTCCTGCCTACCATAGGGCGATCGTGGGTAGAAGGGTGTCTGTTCATTCTGTGGCGTCTCCACAACCTTGCCATACAGCTCTGATGTGGACGCTTGATAGAATCGAACAGTTTTCTCCATTCCACATGTCCGTATGGCATCCAGAATGCGCAGTGTGCCAACTGCATCCACCTCTGCCGTATATTCACTCAAATCGAAGGAGACTTTCACATGCGATTGAGCAGCCAGGTTATAAATCTCCGTCGGCTTCACCATGTTGATGATCTTCACCAGGCTGCTGCTATCAGTCATATCGCCATAATGCAGTTTCATGCGTCCGCCTTTGTGTGCCTTCGGATCCGCATATAAATGCTCGATGCGTGTTGTATTAAACGTGCTGGCACGTCGTATGATGCCATGCACTTCATAGTTCTTCTTCAACAGAAACTCGGCCAGATAGGAACCATCCTGTAAGTAACAAACGTTAAAATTGCAACATTTGGCTCAATCAAAGTTAATTCTCTTAAATCCCATGCTGATCACCCCTGCTAACCTTTTAGCTAGTGGACAATACGTTATATTTGTTTTAATTAAAAACGAGTTTACGAAGATCTCTACAAACATAAACAGCTTTGATCGTTGGGCCATTTCATTTATATTGTTTGAATTTCAATTGCTTGATTATATTATTGTCCCTTCTAACACTCGCAACTAAAATGGAAAATCAGCTACACAGCTTCTGATATAACTGGAGTACTTTTTGATAGGGTGTTTATCAAATGATTGCGGAAATTTGTTATACACACTTATTTTTTAATCTGTTCGTCATGTATTAATGTCCACGTATGTAACGAGTAAACACATTCATTTACACACACACACATACCTGTCCCGTTATGCCGGTTATCAACGCTATTTTGTCACGAGCATTGGCTGCGTCACCTTCGCCGGCGACGCCTGCTGTTCCATTCAAATCCTTGCTATTGTGATTGTTGGACAGACGCATTTGTTTGCTTCCCGAAGCTCCATCGCTTGTGGACATATTAGCTACTGAGTTAAACCAAATTTTTTTTCTTTTTTCCAAAATGCGAGTTGGTACGCGGTATAAACAAATTTTCTTTATCTACGTGGGAAACAGTTACCACCCGCTACAGAATTATTATACATATGAAAGGTAGCGCAAAAAATGTACACCATAGAAAGCATTACAGCATGACGTCACAAAGTTGCAGCAGAATAACTCATTTGAGTACTCTCATATGAGCGACCTTCTATCTGAATACTGCTATGGAAAAGCTCACTGGTCTGGCAGCACCAATCAGTTCGACGTACACAAACGCAGGCCAGTTATTATTAAATTGAAATTATTGTTATAAAAAAATTAATTTATACAAAATGATGGTAAGTTAAAAAAAGAAAATAGAATGACTTTTACGTGAAAGGCTGATGATTAACGCAGTTTGAATGCGCACCGCTTAATTGCAGCGGAAACGCGCACACAAAGAGCAGCTTATCAGTTTAATGGGCGTATAATTGAGTATGTATAAGTTTTTTTGTTGTTGCATTATTCTCGCGTATAGGACGGCACGGATGAATCAAACATATTGAATAGTCCCGCTACCAATAATGGGGGTACAATGGAAATCTCGTCGCCAAATCCATTGGCTCCAGCAACAGCCACAGCAACAAATGGAAGCGGAAGCGTCACTTCACTTGACAGCTCATCGTCGGCACCTGTAACACCTGCAGCATTAGGCGAGAATGCGCTGCATGTTGAAATCTCTGATGCGCTCAGTGAAAAGGAAAAGGTCAAATTTACCGTGCACACACGCACCACACTGCCCGGCTTTGCTAAAAAGGATAATAATGTGGTGCGGCAGCATGAAGAGTTCGTTTGGCTGCACGATCGCATCGAGGAGAATGAAGACTATGCGGGCTACATTGTGAGGAGACTATAAACTAACTTGAAATTTTTAAATTTAAAAGACTTTTTTTGATATACATAGATACCGCCCTGTCCGCCGCGACCCGATTTCGATGCATCACGTGAGAAGCTGCAGCGTCTGGGCGAAGGCGAAGGCAATATGACCAAAGAAGAGTTCAAGAAAATGAAATCCGAATTGGAGGCGTAAGTTAAACCTTTCGAGAATGCATTAAATCGATTTACAACTTGTATGCTTTGGTGTCTTAGCGAGTATCTGGCCACATTCAAGAAAACGGTTGCTATGCATGAAGTCTTTTTGCGTCGTTTGGCTAGTCATCCCGTCTTTCGTGTCGATCAGCATCTAAAGGTATTTTTGGAATACGATCAAGATCTGTGCGCCAAGCCACGCAAGAAGATGGCCATCTTTGGAGGTTTCGTCAAATCTCTGGGCAAGACCACAGATGAGATATTGTTGAGTGCTACTGTGCGTGATGTCAACGATTTCTTTGAGAACGAACTGCAGTTCCTTACCGAATACCACGGCCATTTGCGCGAGGCAGCCTCACGCACAGAGAAGATGACGCAGCGCCACAAAGATGTGGGCTATTCGCATCAGAAGATTTCGAATGCCCTCACAGAGCTTTCCACAACGGAAAAGGGGAATATGGAAACATTTGTGGCCAAGTCTGCGGAGGTGTTTGAACGCATAAAGGTGAACTTAAAAGTCTTTCATATAATCTTTAGCTAATTGCTGCCTTTGTATGCTCTGTGTAGAATCTGGAGACACGCGTGGCAAGCGATCAGGATTTGAAGCTCGGCGACACTTTGCGCTATTATCAGCGCGACAGCAATGCCGCAAAGGCTTTGTTGATACGTCGCCTTCGGTGTTTGGCTGCCTACGAGACAGCCAATCGCAACTTGGAGAAGGCGCGCTCTAAGAACAAGGATGTGCATGCGGTAAATATTTGTTATGGATCCGATCTGCCTTTCGTTTCATATTTCTAAAATCTTTTTCTCTAAATGCTCACCGGTGCTTGGCAGCAAATTCTTTTGGCTTAACAGCTGAGCAGACAATATGCCTTAACTTCTATATATATTCAATATCTAAAAGCCGATAGCAGCATACAGCACATATAGTTCCTTTAAACGCTTAGTCGAAATATGTTCTGTTTTAAACAACATCTGCCCCCAATTCGTAGATCACTAAATTTCTTTAATATTGAATAACTTGCCATTTATAAGCAGGAATTAAAACGATTCCAGCTATATTTTAAATAGAACTCCTATGTCCTTTTACAATCTCTTTGCATTTAGCTGCCGATATTCCTAACTAATTTAAGCAACTCTTTGTCCGGCTGGCTATAGCAGCTCAGCTAGGTCGAGCATAATTTTTCCTTTTGCCTATCTATTTCTCCAACTCTTAACACACCAATTGTGGTCGACGCTGCAATGGCATATGTATTGTAAAAATTTCTGCATACTCACAAACTTCACATTGAACTCTTTCCCGCATTTCTTCTTCTACTTTGTGGCTCACTCTTTTCGTGTTGTTCTTGTTGTTGTGTCTTCCGCTGCAGCCTTTGGAGGTGCAAGAGGTATTTGGCATTTAACGTTTAACACATGAATTGGTCATCCTAGTCTAATGCTTGCAAATTCCAAATTCAACACATATTCCGTCACCTACACATTTAGTTGCATTTGCTGCATGCCTTATAGTAATTCTTATATAATACTTAATGCATGTCTGTGTATAAACTCTATTGCTTAAGTAATTCCTGCTAATGCTGATCTTGTTCAATGCAGGCTGAGACTGCTCAAGCCGAGGCTTGCGAGAAGTTTGAGTCCATGTCCGCCTGCGGCAAGGAAGAGCTGATTGGCTTCCGCAATCGACGTGTGGCCGCATTTAAAAAGAGGTATTTATATTGTATTTATGTAATATATAAATTCACTAATTTCAACTTTTCTGCAGTCTCGTGGAGCTATCCGATCTGGAGATCAAGCACGCTAAAAGCCAATATGACTATCTGCGCCAATCGCTGCTGGCCCTTAAGGAAATTGCCTGAAAAGCCGAAGCCTTCTTTCATCATTTGCACACACATTGTTTACACACACACACACACACTATAAATTATTAGCCAAGGCCCCCTTCAAGGAGTAAATCAATTGGTTTTTGCTAAGCAAACAGTTTTATTATCTCTTATTAACTACAAATATATACATATATTTATATGTATGTGTGTATATGCAGATACATATACATATATCGCATATAGTTAAGATCTAGCTTTCGTATATTTATGTATATGTATATATAAGCGAATATGAATTTTGGTTTGTGAAACAGATCGCTTTTATATATATGTATATATAGATATTGTATAACGAGCATTCCTTTATGAACATTTACTATTGTATAAACATTGAATACAGAATATATATATATATACATATATAATTATACACATCATAGGCCTTTTAAATATTGTCAAAGCATTTTTAGCATCACACTTGAATATTGTTATTATTGTATATCAATACTGTTTGGTGAACGTTGCCAGGGCAATGTGTACTTGAAGACCCGCATCGAAATTTTCCGCCTAACAACCCAGCCAAAAACTAATTGAAAATTGTTATCATCGTTAAATATTTATTGAATACGTTTAATTGAAAATTGTTGTTGAAATCATGGATGAGTTTGGTTGCTTTGATCCGAAGCTGCCGGCCAGCGATAAGTCCCCAGATTGGCGTACATCCACCTATCGTGGGCATCGCCACATCACGGACACTCGCCTGGGCAGCAAGCTGAACGCCCCCAGGGAATGCTCCAACAAGGGCATTTTTGTTAGGGATCCATTGTTGCATGAGAAGCAGCTGACTGAAATATCTAGCAACTATGTGTGGAAGGTGAGTTGAGGGTTTGGATGAACTAAGATTCTGGTATTCACATCTGTTCTCCGTGTAGTATCCCGATCCGAATGTCCTGCGGAATCCTTCGCTCAATATGAAAACGCAATACATGAAGCGTTTCGAGGAGGGCAATTTACGTTTTATTAAGCGCAAGACAAAGCCAGTGATAAGCGTCTCCCAGGAGGCGTTTACCTTCGTTGACCTCCCATTCGAGGCAGACCCGATACCAATTCGCATGCCCACTCCGGTGGAGACCACCAAAGTACTTATTGATCGTTCCAAAATTGGCTATACCAAGTATTTGGATCCGGCGGCGACTACTTACAATCTCTCCTACGTCCATTACACGCCGCAAGATATCAAGGCCAGCATTGCCGCCCCAGACACCATCACCTTTTGGAATTGGGCGGAGCGTGGCGGGGAAACCACCACGCATGTCACTCGCGTGGCGGATGAAGTTATGTGCGATGAGACGAATGCACTCGCCTGTCCAAAGCGTCGCCTGGAGTACCCAAGTCAGCTGAAATGCGTTCCACACACCGGCCTGATCACCGAGGTTCGTGCCAACTATTTGGACCCCAGGCTGAGCAAGGAATATATCGACTATGATACAACGGATGTGCAGCCCGTGCTCGTCTCCGAGCCATTTGCTCCGTTTGCCAAGTCGAGCGAGTATGGCATCTACGGCTCCGGCGATCCGGTTCGCAAATATGTTTAAGATTGCATTCACGTTTAAATTGATAACCGCCAAATATAGATTTTCATTTAATATTCACGACTAACATTCACAAAGTTATTATAACGTAAATGCATGGGGCAGCAAGTGATAGACTGACGTGACCAGCACCTCTGCATCGTCCTCGAACATTGGCACTGGGGCACTCGACTCTGGCGCCTGCGCTATATAAATCGGTACATCTAGCTTCGCAAACTCGTTCATAAACTGACGACAGACGCCGCAAGGCGTCGTAAAGCCGGACGGATGATAGGCCACCACGGCGCCGGCACTGAAGGCCCTGCAACCCTCGCTGATGCCCTTCAACATAGCCGTTCGTTCTGCACAGCAACCTGGTGTGAGCGCCGCATTCTCCACATTGCAGCCAGTGAAGACTTTGCCGCCCTTCGAGCGAAATGCGGCGCCCACCTTGAAATTGCTATACGGAGCATAGGCGAAGCACCGTGCATTCAGTGCATCCTCCAATAGCTCACGGCCACAGTTATCTGTGAAGAGAATGAACGGATTTAGGAGGTGATGATGGGAGTAAGGAGTATTTTGCAATGGAAGGAGCAGTGAATAAGGCAGTGGGGCTGTCAAGCAAGACGGGAGACTGATAGCCTAAGCTGTCTCCTCCAAGAGTACGACTCCTGCTGGCCAGCTCATTCTGGCACAGTTGCTCACCCAGTTGACCGAAGGATATGGTATATTCGCAAAGTTTGATTGGATGCGGCAGCATAAGCGATTCGTTCACCGGGAATCCTGTCCGACATGGCTGCCGTCGATCCACTTCGCGCTGCAGCTCCCTCAGCTGATCCATATAGAACTTCAGCTTCCTGCATGTCTTTTGCTTGGCTAATTCCTTCTGCAGCGCATCGAGACGTTTCATGCACTTTTTCAGCTCTTTACGTTTCTGCGACATTAGTATAGTACTTCTGTTTTTGTTCTTATAAACTATATATTTTTATTTTAATTTGTAGAGTCGTCCTAGCATTAGGCCAAAAACATAAATATTTCTATATACAATTTTCGAATTGACAGCATTCATGTTATAACGGCCTACTATGATTTCTATAGATTCGAATTTAATATATATATGTATGTATGTACATATGTATGTATGTACGCATGTATTTTTAGATAATTCCATCGTATATCTTTAACTTAAATTTCAACAAATAAATTGTGTTATTACCAGCAAACTTTTTTCTTCATGCTGATAGTGATAATGAATTCTCCTTTTATTAACTAACTTCTTTATCATTTGATTCATTGATTGATTAGAAGGTTCCAAAGATTCACTTTAATCAATCCCAGGTGCATATTAAATCTGTTTATTATAAAATATATGTTTATAGATAATTAAAGTAATAATTGCAATACATGTGTACATGGGCATAGAAGCTAGGCCCAAAACATCTTGAGCGAAAGAGTGCAGAATATTCAATCGAACAAAAATGGGTTGCAGGAGTGACAGTGAAAGTGTGAGTGTGAGTGTGAGTATATGAGTTGATAAGTTCGCATACAGACACAAAAATAATCATACTTTTAGTATAGGACTATTTGGATTTGGTGCGGAATTGGTTCTGCGTACATAGAGATAGAGGGAGAGAGCATAGGGAAACAGATATAGTAAGTAAAGGTAACTTAAGTGCATTGCATATGAAAAAGGTGTAGATACATACATATGTATGTGTGTGTTTTTTTATATAATAAATAAATCCATCTCATATCTGAAACAAAGTTCCTCAGCTAAAATTTCAGTTCAATTGCTGCAAATTCCTTCTTGAATCGTGAATGAAGATCGCGCACAAATTTCAACTTCCATCAAACTTCTTTCTTCGTTATTTAATGACGAATTCCTATTTTAAACCCTAAATTTATTGTTATTGATTGATTAGAAGCTTCCAAAGATGTTCATCGTCCTATTGCACTTCTTTATCAATCCGATTAGATTCTCGGAAGCTGATAAGATCAGTTGAAAATCTTTATTAATCAAAGCATTAGAGTATATTGAATGTCGTACTTGATGCAATTTCCACAACATCGTCACAAAAACATTATGATTAATGTTTATTGTGTAAAATATATTTTTGAAAAGGTGATTTCCCTCGATTAGGTATTTCAGCTTCAATTTATTTCATTGAGTCGGATATCAAATTTATAAAGAATTAAATTTCTTCATAAACTTAAAATTTTTTAAATATTTACAAAATAAATAACAATAAATATTCATTTCAAGTTAGTATATTTGCATATATTTTAAATACTTTATTTATTCAATGTATAAACTTTTAACTAAAAAAATAAAATGAACAGCAACAAATTTATTAAAAAATTTATTTTTCTAGTGCAGTAAAAAAAATGTATGTAGAATAAAATTAAATTTATATATTTATTATAATATATATGTTCAATTAATTAAAATAATAATTAGATGGGATGATCGCTGAAAAGTTGAATCGCTAAACTAAAATAAAAACTTTAGTTTCTATTAAATAAAGTTAGAGTGTTTATTGCATTTAATAAAAAATATTGTACAACATAATTGGTACTATCTTGCAATTTGTCTAGTTCTCTTTGTAGGTGTGGAAACTGCGGGGTAATAGGTTGAAGATCGATGTACAAAGGATTGGATCGTCATTGCGGAAAGGCTCCTCCTGTTGCTCCTGCGGCGACCGTGTGTCATTGGCCTGGCCTATATAGATGAGTAAATCAGTGGCGCCCGCAAATTCTCTGATAAACTGACGACACACGCCACAGGGCGAGACAAACTCATTTGGCTTATAGGCGACCACCGCACCGGCGGAGAACTGGCGATAGCCCTCGCTGACGGCCTTGGTGATGGCCGTACGCTCGGCGCACGATGTCGGCGTAAAAGCAGCATTCTCCACATTGCAGCCGGTAAATACCTGCTGGCTGTTTTCTTTGGCACGAAAGGCGGCGCCCACTTTGAATTTGCTATACGGCGCATAGGCGCGCTGGCGCACCTGGTGGGCGGCACGTAAGAGCTCCTGAGCCGTTGCATCTGCGTAAAGAAGGCGATACGTCATAGGCTATCAATACGTCACAGTCTATGCATACGTCAACAGCTACGAATAGATCACCACTTACCCAAATCGCCGTAGGGTAAGATGGTCTCCTCAACCTCGGGCTGTGCCAAGCTATTCAATAGATGCGACATAATTTGTACAGAAATTAGTTTTGATTCGTTGGCGTTGGCGGGGGCGACGGTTGTTATTTATAAATTATTTCAGTTGTTAGCCAGAAAAATATGTTTTTTGCGTGCGGGTCCGTGTCTTGCTCACGAATGTCCAATGGCAAATGGACAGTACTTCTCGTCCGCTTGTTTTGAGCTAGTCAATAAAAATACACACATATGTAGGCATTTAGCTGCTAGCCGTTGATAACGGCCTGTTCGGAGAGAGCGCGATAGACCATAACAAATACATACAGACATAGAGAGAAAACTACAAGAGCGGGTGTTTCTGTATAAGTGCCAATGGATGTTTGACTGCGAATGTATTGTAATGGTACATAAGACATTAGAAGAGGGTTGCTTCACAGTTGCAACTCGCTTCAAATGTGGGTATTCACACAAAGTAATTCATAGGGCATAAACATCTAGTAGTAATGTTGTTCACATAAAATATTGCACATGGTATGAAATCGTTGAAAGTATGCGTTTCACTTGCTACTGGATAAGCTGAAGCCGTTTGGCAGCAGCTGCAGCACGCTGGTGCAGAGGACACGGAGCGGTAGGTTGGTTGGCTTTGCGGCGTACAGGGCTATATCCCGGCCATTGCTGGCGAATTCGGCTAGAAACTGTCGACAGACACCACAGGGCGTTGTAAAGCCATTGTCCTGCTGCGCCACAACCGCGCAGGCCACAAACTGACGTTTGCCCTCACTGAAAGTAACGGTTTCTTATTGGGACATCTCTGGGTGGTTATATAAATATCACACTTACCTTAGGGCTTTCACTGCCGCCGTTCTTTCCGCACATATGCTGACTGCATAGGCGCCATTTTCGATATTGCAGCCAGTGTAAATGGAGCCGTCACTCGTTCGTATCGCAGCGCCCACTGCAAAATTACTGTATGGGCAGTAGGCGTGATTGCGTGCCTCTGCAGCAGCACGAATCAGCTCCTGTATAGAGGCATCTGTAACGGAAAAGTATTACATTTTTAGCTATGCATATATTTAGTATTTAAATTATCAAGTCTCTTTGGCACCTAGGCTGTCATGCTCCCGCACATTGGCTGCATCTGTGGCTCCGTTTATGAACACCTGCGTCATTGTTCTATTCTTTCCAAATGGTCCAATTGCAGCGATAAATATGTATGTATGTATGCTGCGCTCTACTTTCAGTACTATTTGAAACCTTTATAATGTATTAAAATCAAACGCCTGTCGCAGCTTAATTGGCTTTCTAGACCATTCCTACGTTTCAACACTTATCAACTTTCTAGCAGTTATATATTTGAACGACCTTGCGACATCTGACCTCAATTCTGATGAGTAGTTTATATTCGTTATAGGCAACTTGACCTGTAGCAAAGTCAGCTGTTTCAGAGATATTTAAAGCAATATCGATACGTTTTCGATAACACGTGAGAATTGTAAACAAACATATTTGTATGTGTATGTGAATAAATTTGTGAGAGTTTGTGAGTTTTCCAACATTATCAGCCCTTTATCACAATCGGAAAATTGGTATTGATATCAGCGCAATCATTTAATGAGCCGTACTGGTTGATTGCTTTTTCTCGTACATTCTTTTAATATGTCGCAGTCCAGCGAGACGCAGCCACAGGAAGACATTGAACGAGCAATGGGTGGTGCCGATGAGCCAATGCCGCAGCGATTGCCCCCCATCGATCGGACTTCAGATCGTTATCCATATTGCATTGTTTGGACCCCGATACCAGTGCTGACCTGGATATTACCATTCATCGGGCACATGGGAATTTGTATGAGCAATGGAGTTATTCGGGACTTCGCTGGACCGTATCTGGTCACCGAGGATAATATGGCATTCGGGCGTCCCACACGCTATATGCGCTTGCATCCGAAAAATGTCGAAGGCGGCTCCTATGCCTGGGATGAGGGCGTCACCAAGGCCTCGGTACTCTATGGCACTCGTATGCATAATCTCTTCTGTGATAATTGCCACTCGCATGTGGCCACAGCGCTTTGCAATATGCGCTACTTGAATCGCACCAGCTGGAATATGATTATTTTATGCTTCTGGATGTTCCTTTGTGGACAATATGTGAACTTTTGCGGCTTCGTCAAGACCTGGTTGCCGTTTCTTATATTAATAACCATTATAGTTTTACTCGCTGTGTACTTCTAAAATATACAACTAATCCAGTCTCTCTAGAACTACATAAGTATTCTTAAGATCCATGTTTATTCGAGTGTAATTTATTTAAATATACAAAGCTGCTAAGTACTAATTGTTATTTGTTGTTTTCGTTAATTTGCCCTCATTTCTCAAGAGCACGAGTAACATCATCAGCTACTGCTAGTAATTTTTTCCACTGTGAAAGCGTCAGTGAAATGCCTTTCTTGCCCGGCAAGACTTTTCCCTCCTTCTCATAGTGCTCGCGTATGTCAACCATTTTACGGCCACGAAACTCGTTAATGCGCACTTGACGCATGCCCTCTAGAGTCCATGTGGTGGTGCCACTGTCATCTCCACTATCATTCTTATTTGATTTAACATCGGCGCCCTCCTTTGACTTTTTGCTCGGCGGTGGATTACGCTGCAATTTTTAGTTTGCGGGTGCACTTGAAATATAAGTGTGTCATTTCATAAAATCATGTATAACTTACATCGTCCGGACCGCTGTCGCTGTCGGATGATGATTTTCTTTCAGCCTTCTTGATTTTTGGCATTTTTATTTCAATTCGTGACTTCAATTTCTCGCCGATAATAAAAAGAATTTGGCGCAAATAATTTGCGTCAACAGAGTTGCCATTCGCAGCGCCCTATAACATTTTGCCATTCACATGTGAGCATTCACGCAAAAGTCGACTAGACGCCGAATCTACCGTATTCTATTTCTAACTGAGCGGCGGCATAATTTGTCGAGACGCGCATTTTTCTACGTATTTTGAGTTATTTAGTATGTCGCTGTAATAATATTAAGAAAGAAGTGTAAAACTATTTGGTAAAAGTTAAATTAAAATTAAAAGTTTCTTGGTAAGCGTGCGCGTGGTCTATTTCGATTTTCTGCACATTTTGGCACATTGTTATTTTTCGGCCGTACATACATATATATATATATATATATATATATATATATACATACATACATACAATTGTAACTACACATATGCATATGTACATGCGCGCTTCTATATTTTCCATGGTACAGCTTTAGAGTAAAAATCACATACATACACATATAAAATGGGCAAGAAGGCTGATAATCCTGAGAGCAACAATCCATCTTCTGGCGCTGAAGAGGAGGAGGAGGAGGAATATGCAGTGGAAAAAATTTTAGATCGTCGTGTGCGCAAGGGAAAGGTTTGTATAACGTTGCAATGGAAAGAGAATTGTGAAATAATTTACTCGCTGTAATACACATTCATAGGTGGAATACTATCTTAAGTGGAAGGGTTATCCAGAGACTGAAAACACTTGGGAGCCGGAAGGAAACCTGGACTGCCAGGATCTGATACAACAATATGAGCTGAGTCGCAAAGATGAGGTAAGTAGTGTGTGAAAAATAAGTGGTGCTGTTTTCGCAAGTTGATTATATGATGCGTGTTTGGCAGGCCAATGCAGCATCTACAAATTCGACCAGCTCAAAAAAAGATCGACCAGGCAGCAGTGCCAAGGTCAAAGAGACGGGACGCACCAGTACAACAACTACCAACAACAGCAGTACTGGCGGCGGCGCTGCTGGTAGCGCCGGTGGCAAGCGAAAGTCCGAGGAACCAGGTAGGCAGTGTTGTGTACAGATAATACAATATATGTATATGCACAAATTATTCAATATGTATGTATATATTATAATTGACTAATATCAATTACTATGTTTTAGCTGCACCCGCGAGTAATAAAGCAAAGCGCGTCGATTCAGATGATGGTGGTGATCTGGTACCCGCCGGTGGCACTGGCTTCGATCGTGGCCTGGAAGCTGAAAAAATATTGGGCGCCTCCGATAATAATGGTCGGCTAACATTCCTTATCCAATTCAAGGGCGTCGACCAGGCGGAGATGGTGCCATCGACGGTGGCCAACGTCAAGATACCCCAAATGGTAATTCGCTTCTACGAGGAGAGGCTCTCTTGGTATTCGGACAACGAAGACTAAGTGTCGCACCAGGATTTTATTATTCACGAATATATTTTCTCAGCATAATATACTTAAAAATTATGTATTTTTATCATCCAAATCCAACAAATAAACATGAACTACAACATTTTGAGTAAACGGAAAATCAATGAAGCCGCTATTCTTTGTGGTGGAATTGAGGATTCACAGGATTGCAGAAACTGGGCACTCTAGGAATTGAGCAGCTTGTTGGCCACGCTGCACTCGGAGTTCTCCAGGACATTGCCACAGCATGACCAATGTCGGCGTCCTGGATGCCCTGCATGGCCATGGCCGCAGCCGCTGTAGCCGGGCATGCGTCCCTCGCAGGAGCATTTGACACTCTTGTTGCCCTTGCTGGAACAGAAGGCGCAACAGTGGTAGATTCCAGTATGCGGACGTACCTGACGCGAGTGAAAGGTGTAGGGACTGCCCTTGATGGGCCGATCATTGATGGAGACCATCAGAATTAGGGTGCCCTGCGTGTCGGGCGTGAAGGAGATGCTGTAGGTGCCATCGCGATGATCGGACACCTCGACGGGCAGGTACTTCACATTCGCATCCTTGTACTTAATCATGCAATTGATCTCCAATCCGCCATGACACAGCGCCACGCCATCTGCATCGCGCGTGAGCAATTGCAGATCTACCCTCCGATGCAGACGCAGCTGTGAAAAGCCCTCCCATTGCAGGGTGCACAGCGACGGTTCGACCGTTTGCATTGTTATAATGCCGTATAGAGGTATATCGTGCTGTTCCTTAGTGCCCGGCGCGCGGATTTTGGATAGAAAGTGCAGCGAATCGGAGATCTGTAAGGGATTGCCATTAGATACAGATAGTTGAAAATAACTAGGGATGCTATAAGGAGGTCCGACGGGACTGTACCGGCGAGACTGTACCGAGCACATGCTAGAGGTACGCGTAGGTACAGTTGCTACAAATCAAAAAATATATGCCTTGCTAGCAGCTCTTTAGGGTAGCTACCCTTGTTTGCTTTTAGAGTTGGTTTAGTTACTAGACCTACTCTATTTATTTATTTAACTATATTGGGTCTATCCTATGACATACACACCTTGGGATCGACGGGCGGCTTGAACTGTTGACAGTACTCGAAGCGTTTCAATAGAATGCGTGCAAAACTTAGTATCTCAACATCGGCCCCAATTTCCGAGAGTTCCTGGCCAAATCGTATCGCTTCCATGGCCTGTTGCGTGCGTTTCTCTAGAAGATCAGTATGAGATTAGGTGCAGATGTTAAGGGAATTTCAGATTTCTTAGCCATTTTCTGTGGTGTTCTTGTAAGACAGCTAGCCCACCTTAGGCTACTCTCTAATCAGGACTTTCTTCCCTTGCATTTGCCCCTACTCTGACCCCATTGGCTTCTCACCTAATTCAAGCTGCTGGTTGATGATCAGCTCCACCTTGGACTCCCTGGCTCGATTGACTTGCTGCAGCAGCGTGTTGCGATGTGCCTGCAGTGCCTCAAAGTAGCGATTCATATAGCTCTCCACCTGGGCCTGAATGTCATCGCATCTCGCATTGATGCTGCGCGTGATCTCGCGCAGTCGCTCGATCGAGTGCTCCGCATATTGGCAGAGCGGACGCGTCTGCTCCGTGGCATCACTTAGCTTCTTGGCCATCTGCAGTTGACTCATGGCCTTGGCCACCGTCTCGTGGCGATGGTTGCGATGCTGCAGCACCAAGCAATCCGGACAAGCGAGCTGAAACGATTCACGCAGATCTTACAAAGTGCCTCGACTGTCATTGACCACAGGGACTCACCTGCTGGCAGGGTATGCAGAAGGACTTCAGCTCGAACCCATGCAGTCCACACTTGAGCAGCACCTGGCGACTATCGCCCAATCCAAATTGTTGCTGCTTCTGCTTGCGTGCCCGTCGCAGCTCCAGTATGTTCCGCATGTGATGATTCGAGGTGCTGCGCTGACGCTCGTGGGCTTCCTTGCACAGCGAGCAGAGATTGAGAGTGCAGCTGATGCAGTGGTATGTGGCCTTTACAAGGATAGACGAAAAGGGAAAATTTATTGAGCTACCACATGGCCACCAAATGGCATTACAATCTGTCTAACTACCATTACTATGCCTGGCAGGGATATCAGGGAAGTCCATCTATAATGACTATGATTCTGCTATGTCGACTACCTGAGGGAAAGACAAAGCGAGAGAGAGAGATAGAGGTAGAGCCCGATATTTCACTTTCCTCTTGCGAACTAATCTCTATTTCTCTGTCGCTCACTCTCATTCTGTCTACCTCTCTCTCTCTCTCTCTCTTACACCCTCTGCTACCGCGATTCTAGGAGTTTTTCACATTCTTACATTAATTTCCTCACTGCAAAGAGAACACCAGACTTTCGAGATGACATCCTCGCCCGCCTGCAGACGCAGTGCCTCAATGCGTCGCACTAGCAGAAAGTTCTGTGGCAGCTGTCGCACTCCACCCAGGGCTGGCAGCTCCGTGACGAACTGGCAGCTGTGGCAGCGTATGCTACGCACAGGTTCTGGATCGCTGGCGAAGCTGTTGTTCAAGCGCATGCTGGAGGAACAGGCGGAAGTCGAGCGTTTGCCCTGGAATGGGAGCAATAGTTAACTGAAGTCTGTAGAGAGCATCCTAATCCGATTCTAGCTACCCTCAGTGCCAATCGATCCAAGGACTTCTTGCTGCCCCGCTGCCTCGCTGGTGCGATGGTGGCCAGTTCGTTGGCCGTGTCCGGCGTGGAGGGGAGTAGACTATAGCTGGAGTGCTCTTCCCAGAGTGCCTCCTCTCGAAGATTCGCATTGACCAAGCACTGCAGGCAGAAGGAATGCAGGCAGTGCAGGGTACGCGGATCCGTGAAGACGTCCATGCAGATGGCGCATTTCAGATCCTCGGGATAAATGATATTCACGTAATTGGTTGCTTGACCTGGCAGATTCAAGCTGGAGGAGGGTGAGATCTGGGGCGTGCCAGCTGGAGAGGGCGTATAGCTGCGCGAGATTTGGGAGGCGGTCTCATAGTAATCACTGGCAGCAGCTGATGGAAGCAGCAGGCTGTTGACCTCTAGATCGGGTGTGGGTGGGGAGACGCGCAGCTCTGGCGAGGATTTGAGGTTCAGCAGACGCCTGGGCTGGGGCGGAATTATAGAAGATCGAAGCTTAGAAGGCGGCGGTGGTAAGGGAGGAGGTGGCGGAGGAGGCGGGGTTGGTGCCACAGTTACATCACTTGCGCTGCTGGTGCTTGGCACAGATGCCGCCGACGCCTCACTCAACACGTTGTCCAGCAGGGATTCAGGTGAAGTGGAACTCGTTAGGCTGCTGGTGCTCGGATCACTGTGGCTATCGGTGACCAGCAGCTCCGTGCGTGAGCGTCGGATGCACTTGCGCGAATCGTAGGCGGGCAGGCGTGGCACCACTGCCTGGCTAGTAGCAGCTGCTCCAGCTAGTTGAGCAGGTGCGATGCTGAAGCTGAGCAGCTGTGGCGCCGACTTGCGACGCAGTGCATCCAGCTCCAGCAGCATCAGCTGCTGCTCCACCTGCTGCGCCTGTTGCACCTGCTCTGGCTGCTTCTCCTGTACACCAGCTCCTTGTAGCTTTATTTTGCTCGCACTCAGCTTCAGCTGCATTTTGTCCATTTGAGCAAAAGTGGGAGCTGCTGCGGCTGTGGTATTTGGAGCTGCAGCTGGCAGCTGCATTCGCTCATAGTCGGCGAGATTGCTCTTGGAGTGCCGCTTGAATGTGAGTTTGCTGTTGCTCTTGCTCATGACTTCGCTAGCTGCTTATGCAACTGATGGAATCTGGCAGTAAAAAACACAATACGATATCGAGAAAATAACTGTGAGTGAATTCAGTTGACAGCTGCGCGTTCCAACTGCCTATGGCTTGGCTCGAAGCTGCACGGCCAAAGCGTCGTATGCTTAATCTAATTACTCATTTGTCTGCTGCTCAAATGGAAATGGAAATACGAATGCGACTGCTACTGCGACTGCGATTGCAAACGGGCTACAACTGTCAAACGTCTAGCATTGCGGCCAGTTGCGTTTTACACTCGTTCCGCTGTGGAATGGCTCTGCCAGGTGGCATTGGAACACTACCAACCAAATGGGTAATACTCAAAGCGACCACAGGTGACAAGTGCAAAAAGTCCATCAATCGCTCGTCTGTTCATATCTCTCTATTGAAACGCATAGCTGCAATAACGAGGTATCTACATGCATAGAACAATAATGGCGTTACTAATGCAAGAATATCCGTTAGGGAACTGTGAACTTGTAGTGAATTTTCAGCTATTTATTCATTCACTTCTAATATTTAATAGTAATAAGTACCGAAAGTTAACTTCATTGTTATCAGCTTAATGCACTTCTGTCGGCAAACAAATTCACTTTCCTTGCATATACACGCGCAAACACAAAAACTCTTATCCATATACATTGTATGACATGTTAAAGTCCACTCTCCAATCTCTTTTAGAATGCACCGTTATCAAAGTGCATCTGTTCTTTAATGACGATCAATCGCACACGCTCTTGCTCTCTCACTCTCGCTCTTACAAATTCTCTTGCTGGCAAAGCTTTTATGTCAACTTGTAACACTGATGTGCTTAGCCAACGTTCATACGCACACACATACACACATGCCCATGTACTCATACCATTCACTCTCAAGTGGGCAGGGAGAGAGTGAGCTTTTGTGCGCTGTGCGCCCTCAAACCAAACACAAACGCTCGGCACTCGGTCTCAGTGCAATTCGGGACTGGGCGACGTGCGTACGCTGTTAACGGTTGTCTTTGGTTATTGTTGCTTCGTTTTATTTTTTTGGCGCACTCAGCTCGGCTCGTGGAATCGAATTTGGTATCGGCATCGCTGCGGGTGACGCGTGTCGTGTCTCGATTTTTAGCTTTTGAAAGAATTGCCCAAATAGCTGCACAGAACACAACTTTCTAATTGTCGTTTCGTTTTCGATAAAGTACAAAAACTGATATCACTTTGATTTTAAATCTATGAAGTGCCAAATTACATGGAATATTACATGCATGAAAAATAAAACCCATTTCATTGCACTGCGTTGAACTTTTCTATATTGCATTCTCACAGTCGCTGTCTCACTTCTCACTCTCTCTGCCGCTCTTTTCCCCTTCGTTGTGTGTGGATTCTTCGTCAGCGACGCACTGTTTTCGTAGTTGTTGTTGTTAGCGGCATTTCGTGTAAACTCTTGTTGTTGTTGGTGTTTTTTGTTGTGTTCATTTGTTTTGCTTTCGATTTTCAACCGGTAAAGAATAAAGGGAATATCAACATGGAAACGGTAAGTGAACGACATAAGACCGGTTAGCGCGTTAGCTTAAAGGTCATTCCCCAATTTTTGTGAAATATACATATGTATATATTTACATATTTATATCTATATACACAAGTACATACATATATATCAGTCTGAACTGCGTCCGTTTCAAAGTTCAAAATTGTGATAAAGTTTTTTTGACGTTCGTTGCGTAAAAGTTTAAAGTCTCCCCCCGTAGAGACCGCTTGTCATACTGGCCCATTGAGAAGGCTTTTGTATTTACTAAAAAAAAAAGTCTACAAGATAAGTTTTAGCAGTTTAGCCAGCGTATTAACGAGCTTTGCCCTATTTAGCGTTAGTATAGTTGTGTTAATGCAAAACAGATTTATTATGCGAGCTGTTTCTTAATAGCTTGATGTATATTCTTGCAAATTATAATGCGTATACATAAATGACAAATTAATTAGCAATTACTAAACAGAATCGGAAAACAGTTTTGCAGTGAATAATTTATAGCATTAAATAAGATTTTAATTATATATAATCAATAAGTTTATTCGGGACCACAACAATCGAAAGAAACATTTAAGAAATTGTCTAAAATGATTTAAAATTTTGTGAAACAAGTTTTTTTAAGCTTCATTAAAATTTGTTGAAATTGTCTAAAATGATATTCATTCCATTAAATATATATATGTATGTATGTTTAAAATTCTTAAAAATTAATAATAGCTATATATTTTATAAGGTTGTATTCGACTTATTAACTAAAGCCAAGACTGTCTGGTTTTTATCAAATTTTTAAAAGTTTTTTTTTGTAAACAATTTATGTGAGCTATGTATAATAAAAGGTTTAGCTAAATAAACCCACGAAAAAATTCGAAACATTGTTAGTCTGGCAAAAATATGTTGATTTATTTCGATTGCCTGTCACATTTAGAGATAAAACGCAACATTATCTAACGGATGCGCTAAAAAAAAGAAAGTAAATAAATAAATAATAATAAATATTTTTTTTTACAGGCGGAAAACTACAGATTCGGTGAAATTGACTATATAGTATTTCTGGGCATGATTGTGCTGTCCACTGGAACGGGCATTTATTTCGGATGTTACAAGTAAGATTTATTGAATATAATCATTTTCCATTTAGTGAAATCAGTATAGTATTACTTGATTCTATTCGACTCCATTTTCATTTAGAAAATCTAAGAAAACTATTGAGGAAGTGGAGCCTAGTTTGCCCGTCAGCGTTGATAAGCCGCGTAGACAGGACTTTGGCTCGGCTAAGATGAGCGAGTATTTGCTCGGATCGCGGCAATTGAAAGTTTTTCCTGTTGCCATGAGTCTGATAGCCAGGTAACTGAGATATATGCATAGATATATGTATATACTTATATATAACACTATCTATCATTTATCTCTCTTATCTGCAGCTATGTATCGGGCGTCACAATACTGGGCACCACGTCGGAGATATATAATTATGGCACACAATACTGGTTTATAGCCATAGCCATTCTGTTACAAGGCGTAGCTGTCGCCTACATATATATACCAGTTTTTACGGTACTGCAAGTCGGCTCGTCCTATGAGGTATGTGCACACATATGTATATACATCTACATATATCTATATCTTTTTCCAAATCATAAACTTTTAGACAGTGTATAAACTAAGCTGTTAAGTCGAATCACAGTCACAAACGATAAGACTCTTGTTATAGGACTTAATTAGTGATACTACGAACACAGCCTATTGATTGGGCATACTTGTTGTCACTATAAATATTTACAATATCCATTTTCTCATAGCAGGCGATAGATGAAGTAGTATAAAATATAAGCATAGCTATAAATAGAACTGGAAGATAAAGTAAAAGTAGAACAATAAACATAAGTATAAATATGAGTCCAAGTGTTCGTAGTTTATCATACAAATCTTATCAAATATTAATGTTTAAATATTTGATTACTTAGTATTAAATTGATTAGTTATGTTTTTGGTATTTATTTATTTCTTTTATATTTATGTAAAGCAAATCTATTTTTAGTGAAGCAAGAAAATTAAAGTTATTTGCTTTAATTTTGCATCCCACTTTTAATGCTCATTAATGGGGCAAACAGGGTATATTGGCTATGTGATGGCTTTGCTATTAGTGACTCGTATAAAATTGAAGTTATCAAAGAAACTGTGTCCTTAGAGTTCTTAATTTGCACAGTGAAAATTCTACAGACTCCCTCTGAGACTGTTTTTATACCGTAAACGGGTATTATGTGGTCGGTGCACTGTAACATTCCTTACTGGTTTTCATTTGATTTGTCATTGTGCATTGAAACCTTATGTTTGGCCAATTTGTAACCCAAGTCGAGAAATTGTCGGACACATTTTAATTAAGGCAAAGACTTGAGCAAATGTTGTTCCGAAATGGACTTTGCACGCTCCACTTGGAATTATTATTTGTATTTTATTTTTTGCTCATAGATGAGAGATTCTCTCTCTCTTCCCCTGTCTCTGTCCCGCATACACTCTATTATATATTATAGCTGCTGTTCGAGTCGATGTGTATTGGGTTAGGATAATTACTTCCCGGTTTTTGTATGGGGCAACTGGTTCAAGGTTGCGTGTTTTATGAATTTTCATCTTATTTGACTTAAGGGTATATTGTATGCTATTATCTATTGAAGGCTTATAATTAGTTAGATTCACTAATACCAATAGGCAATAGGATAGCTACTAAATCTAATTTTAATAACAGTGATTATGCGAATTTGTCACGAACTGGAGACAGACTTTCTTCTATTATAAAAACTGAGATCTTACTATTTTACCGCAATAATTAAAATAGATTTTGTATATATACATATATGTATAAATTTCTTCCATTTATAGTACCTAGAAATGCGCTTCCATTCGGTGATACGTAGCATAGCTTCATTTATGTTCATTCTGGATGAGGTGAGTACAGCTGTACGAAGCATCCAATGCTTATGACTCATATGACTCATTCCTTCTCAGATACTCTTTCTGCCTTTCATCGTATATGTGCCCGCTATTGCATTGAATCAAGGTAGGTAATTTCTCTAGCAGCTTATCTCAAGCAAATACTTGAACACTCCCTCGATCTCTCCCCGCAGTATCCGGCATCAATTTACATGTGATATCATCGGTGATTGTGATCGTGTGCGTCTTCTATACCTTTGTGGGAGGCATCAAGGCCGTCGTCCACACGGATGCCTGGCAGACGCTGGTCATGTTCCTCTCGGTGCTCGCTGTGGCTGTCCTGGGCACGTTCTATGCCAAGGGAATGGACAAGTTGTTCGACGATGCCGCCAAGGGTGAACGCCTAATCTTCACCAATATCAATCCATCGCCCTATGTCCGGCACACCGTGTGGAGCGTGCTCATTGGCGGTTTCTCGTATTGGACCTCCTTCAATGCGGTCAACCAGACCATGGTGCAGCGCTATATGTCGCTGCCGTCGCTGAAGCAGGCGCGCGCCTCGATGGCCATATTCACCATTGGCGTGGCTGCCTTCGTCTCAGTTTGCTGCTACGTGGGTCTGCTGATCTTCGAGAAGTACCAGGACTGCGACCCGCTCACAGCAGGCCTCATCACGCACGACGATCAGCTGCTGCCGCTGTACGTGGTGCAGAGTGTGGGGCATCTCTCTGGCATGGCTGGTCTCTTCATTGCGGGCATCTTCGGTGCCGCCTTGAGCTCGCTGTCTGTGGTGCTCAACTCCACGTCGCTGGTCATATTGGAGGACATTGTGCGGGGCTGCTTCAAGATTCAGCCCAGCGAACGCGCCTCCACGATCTTGGTCAAGGGCAGCATTCTAGTGCTGGGCGTGATTGCGCTGTCCCTGGTTCTAGTGCTGGAGCACCTGAGTGGCGTCCTGAGCATCTGCACCTCCATGACGGCCATTGCGGCGGGCACCACCTTTGGCCTCTTCACCCTGGGCATGCTCGTGCCGTGGGCGAACAATGTGGGCACAGCGGTTGGTGGCATCGTAGGCGCCTTGCTGGCCGGTTGGATATCCTTTGGCACCCAGTTCACCATTGCAGCGGGCCAGCTCAACTCGCAGAAGCTCAACGTGTCCGTGGCACACTGTACGACGAATGTAACGCTGCCGGACTACAACTGGGTGGATGAGGAGGATGTGTTTCCACTCTATCGTCTGTCGTATCACTGGATCAACCCAATCGGCGTGGCCACAGTCATTGTGGTCGGCTCCATTGTGTCGCTGCTGACGAAGCCCACGGACGTGAAGACGCTCGACGCGGACCTCATATCGCCCGTGCTCCATCGATTCCTGCCCAAGGAGTGCTTCGTCAGCCGGCAGCGGCAACAGACGAATCTGCTGAACCGCACATGAATACAAAGCAGAACCAGGTGCCTAAGCCAACTTAAGTTAACTTCAAGACAAATTCCTGAACCAACGGGAGTCGCAGCTCCTACTACATTCTATAAGTTAGTTTAACTTGAGCCTAATTTTAGTTTAGTAAGTAGTACAAATCTGCAGAGGGGCGCACACACACTAATATATATACATATATACACACACACACACCCATTCACACACAGGTACAGGAATTTATGAATCTGTAGCTTTATTGAAAACCGATTTTCTTCTAGTTTATGTGGAATTCCAGTTAAATTGTATTTTCTTTTGGCATTTTTGTTTGTTTGTTGTTCAAGCATTATGTCTGTGATAAAAAGATTAATAACTAACTAAATAAATATATTATATACGTAGGTATATAGCAAGTTTGCCATTGCCAGTGATATGAGACTCGGCGATTGAGCGCGTATTCTACAATTTAAACAACAATTTAATTTAAGCCTCTAAACTTTGGCCAAGAATCACAAAATCATGAATATTTCATACTCCAGTTAATGTTGCTTCAAATGGGCTGTCTCCGATGCCGTTAGCCTCCGGCTGCACCAATACTTTTTTAACTGGCAGGCGACGAGCACCAGGCATGCAATGCCCGCACTTAAGTAGCTATTGATTACGAATTGCTGCGGCAACATTTTGCATCTGCTTACCGCATAGTCATCGGGCGTAATGGTGGCCTGAAAGCGAGCAGGTTTGGCATTGATCTTGGGGGTGCTAGAACTGCAAGGGCTTACCAGCATAAAACTGGGATTCACATTGTTGCGCCAGCTAAAGGAGGACACCGTATACTCGTCAATGCCCAATCGGTTGATGTTGTGGCAATAGTAGTGCGAATGCCCGGCAAAGGCGAGCCTCGGCTTCAGCAGATCGCCTATCATGTCGGTCGCCTCTTTGGAGAGGACATGATACCGCTCTCTGAAGGCTTCTATGTGTGGTGCGTCGTGCTCCCGACACACCTTGTCCGATATCCGATACGTGGGAAAATGCTGCATTATTATCGGCTGGCTATAAGGATGACGACGCGTGCGTGCACACTCCGCCACATGCGGATGCTGCATGCAGAACAGAGTATTCGATATAGTCTTCAGGGCTTGCTCTGCTTCATTGCAAAACATGCAGTCATCGGCCTCCATGGCCATGGAATTGATCATAACAAAGTGTATTTGCTTAATGGTGTACAAATGCACCATGGAGTAGTTTAAATAGTGTTCGAAGCGCGACGTAAAGAAGGGATGCATCCTGCCGAGGTGAAGATGGAAGGTTAAAAGTCGATTGTGTTGATTTGCACTCCATATAACTTACCTGTGGTGGAAGCCCACGTCGTGGTTGCCCACCACGCTAATTAACGGTATGCCAGCAGGTAGATTAAACATCTGTAGATAGCGCACTACGTAGCTATCAAAGTGCTTATCGTTGACCATGTCGCCCTCGTCGAATAGGTCGCCCAGCACAAAGACAACGTCCGGTTGTAGTAGCCTGGAGGCTGCTTGGAAAGAGCGTTTCATATGCCACTCCCTATACAGCTTGTCCATCCAATGGCCTCGATGAGGGCCAAGCAAATGGGGATCGGCTATGACCATTGTTCGCAGCGGATCATCTACATACTTCTTGCGGCGTATTTCGGGCCATTTGCAGTTTTGTAGCACGACAAAGTCGGCCACGTATTCGCAGAAGATTATCGCGCACAATACAATTACAAAACATGCGTAAATCCAACGCATACTTCTACCAAACACAATTTATTGATACCCGGCGATGTAAACAAACGCAAAAATGAAATGCAAGTAAAACCGCAGGGATGGCGAAAATAACGTAATCATTAACCAGGGGTGCAAGCCATTCAGGCGGCAACTTTATAAAATAATGTTAATTTTGAAAATTGTCCATATTTTTGATATTTTATTTAAGTTATTTATTCAAAGCCTCTGATTTTTTACTCTGCATCCTTAATAATTTTAGAACGTTTCAACACTTTACTCTTTACATAAATTCCTCTAGGGATTACATGAACTAGGGCTGTAGGCCATTTGGTTAAATTAAATCGATAAATCGATAATTGCTTTGGCTGGCGCATAACTGCAATTGAAATGGAAAATCACATATAATAATATAATTCAACTTATATTGTGCACTGTTGTCATATGTTCTATTAGATTAAGCGAAATCGACCACAGACATACACTACATTGGAATGCGTTGCCCTTTAAAAGAGATCGTAAAAGTAGTTCAATCCTTGACCCAGCTCCCAAATGGAGATGCCAACGCCCAGCTGCTGAGCCAGCTGGATGCGTTCATAGATCGAATAAAGCGTCGGATAAAACACAATGTGACGACCCGTTTCGGTTCTAAAAAATTAGTCGGATTAGATTTAATCAGCAAGCGAAATAGATGCCCACTCACCTAATTTCAAAAAAGTTCTCCATATCGCGCTCATCATGGGTTAGATGCTTCTTTACGTGCCTGAGCAGGTCAAGGTACGCACCGTATGTAATGGGGCCTCCGCCATCGGGCGTATAATCATTGCCGTACATGTTCAAGCCCAGTAATATTTTAGCTCGCTTCGCTTCCATATCTTGGCAGCCATCAGGCACGATGTGCTCCACAGCCGAGCGTACCCAATAGAGAGGAGCATTCGCGCCAGGACGCTGCACCGTGGAGTAATCATATGTCATCAGAGAGAAGGCGTATATGTGTTTGTACAGCTTATCCATATGCTTCTCATTAAACAAATTGGGCATGTCCTTGCGTTGCGGCGGAATCACTAGTATCAGTCGAATTTTTTGCTTCTGCAGCTCCTTGGCTGTAAGATTAGAGAATTACATATGAATATGGAATATTATTCAATTGTATGTAATAGTATGCACCCATTTGCAGCACCAAGGTGTAAAGTATCTTGTCATCTATGCGCCCTGCCAGCTGCGACCACACCTCCAGGACCAAGCCATCGAATCCATGCTGCTTGCACACTCGGATCAGCATTTCGTTTAACTCTGTTCGCTCCTTCGCATCGCTCAGCAACAGCTTTATGTCTCGATCCGTAAAGTGATCAAAGATGATGCGAGGGAAGACTAGAGAGAATATTCAAAAACCTGGACAAATTAGTAATTCTTCATGACAGCACGAATTATCGTCAGTTTTACATTTTACTGTGCGCAGATGCTGTTGTTGCTGCACTTTGCCCTTGCGCCTTACATCATTTATCCATCCAGCATCAATATCGTGGTCGCCAGCTATTGCATATTCATCTCCACGTTTCACGATTTGTAGCCAGACTGGTGAGATGATATCAAATTTCTTGGCGAAGATCTTGGCTATATCATAACCATGCGAGTTCCACTGCAGGAAAATGACTTAGTTAAGGTATTTTCTAGCTGAGGGTGTCAAATACTTGCCGGCGTCACGTAGCCTAGAACAGTGCCATTGAAGCGACGCAGCGCCGTGTCCTTGTAGTATCCTTCATGATGGATTAGTATGTCCTTTGCCAGCGGCTCAGGTGACACCAAATTCAGGGTAAACACATCGTGGTCCTGTGGACCACGTAGGAATTTCGATTCCCGTTTGTTCTTGATTTTGTTGTCGGGCGTCAAGGTGCAGAGCACGTATTGGCTACCTAAGAGAATGCACCAAATAATCTGTGCATTGATAGATCTCATTTTCTTGTATCAATGCTGCTAAGGAGCACCTGGATGTACACAGAAATCAATTAGGAATAATAGGATGGACTAGCATGAGCGTACACTGCAGCCAATAGATGTATTTTGCTTATATTTTACAATTTTATCAGCAGCGTCGTTAATCAATTACATTTTATTACATTAGAAACAAACACGTACCCAGCACAACCAAAACACCGGCACATACGAAGCCCTGTTCGATAGCGATAGTCATTTGCTATCGATAACACAAGCAAATGTGATATTTGCACTGTATTTCATTTGAGCCGTTATCGTTGACTGCAATTCCATGCAAAAGAAACAAGTGGTTCGAATTTAAGCAAACCAGCTAACGTATAAAAAGGCGCGCATTTTAAACGTATGCATGCAGTTGTATACATATTATGTATATATTTATATATAATTATATTTAAAAGTTTACATTGTATAAATTAGAGGGGGGATTATCAACATAATGCTGCCTAGCTTAACATCCAAAATTAAAATAAACTTATTGAATACACTAACAAAAGAAACTACGTACAATCAATTAGCCAAAAACTAATTATCACTTTAAAAAATGAAAAAATTGATTTAAAAAATAATTAAAATTATTAACATAGCTCTAGGGGTATGTATGTGTATATGTGTGTTTGTGGTTGTGTGTGTGTGGGTGTGTATACAATTATCATAATTGTTAATCATAATCATTTAGCATATTTTGTATAATGTATAAGTATTTGTATATATTCAGACAAATACACGCATTAGATCGCTGCCCGCCGAATTGCTGCCCGGCGTCGAGCTGTTGCTCTTCCACGGATTGTTGCTGCTGCCGCCATTGCCGCTCACAGGTGCTGCAGTTGCTGTTGCAGTCAGTTGAATGTTGCTGCTGTCGGACAAGGTGCGCAACAGCTGCTTCTTTAGCAACTGCTGCTGCGGACTGCCAATGGCATTGTTGTTGCTGTGGCTGCTGTTGTTGCTCTGGCCGTGCAGCTGCAGCGGTAAATGCATAGGTCGCTGGCGCTTAAACGGGCGAATGCTGCTGATGCCACTGCCGCCGATCGGCAAGTGTCGATGCTGTCGCGTTGTGAGCAACTTGCGCCGTTTCTCATAGAAACTGTGCATGCGCTTGTTCTCCTCCTGCTGCTGTTGCAACTGTTGTTCGCTAGCTTCGCTAAAATCCGTCTTCTCTTTCTCCTTTTCCTTCTCCGGCTTCAGTTTGCCCGCCAGCAACTCTTGCAGGCGCTTCGCTGTTATGTTGCCAGCGCTGTTGCTGTTGCTCAGTTTAGTGAACAACGCCCGCTTGTTGCATCGCAATCGCTCCTGCGCTATGACGCTGCATCTCTGGGCATAGATAGTCTTACCCTGACCGGCAGCAACGCGTGGCAGCAACAGCTGCTGCGGCGAGCCATTGCTGCTGCCGTTGCAATTGATAGTAGGCGGCGGGGGCGGGGCACGCGCCAAGGTACCCACGACACCGCTGCTGCCATTGAGCGAGAGCAAACTATTGTTGGCCTTGCGAGTAGTTAGGAGATTCTTGCGCAACGTGGCGCCCATGCCATTGGGCAGCTTCACCAAGCCGAAGGTGTTCATGGCCAGGGGGCGGGGCGGCCCCGAGTATAGTGTCATATTAAAGTACGTTGAATCATCGTGGTATTTGGCATTGGCCAGTTGGCGATGTGGCTGGGCGTGCAGCACGCCCTCAAAGTGGTTGAAGCCATTGCTGTTGCCACCCGTTGGTTGTAGTGGTTGTAGTGGTTGTTGTTGTTGTTGTTGTTGTTGTGGCTGGTTGTTCTCCAGCTTGACAGTCTTTGTGTGGTTGTTGGCATCCCCGCTAACAGTCTCCAATTTACTAAAATCAAATTCGCCCAGCTCATCGTGCATCATCTGGTTGCCGCTGCTGCCGCCGACATTGACGCCCTCCTGCAGCACGTTCACATTCACATTCACGTCGACATTGTCGTAGCCCGCCTGGGTGAGAAACTCGGCTATGACCTGCTGCTGGCTCTGCTGATCCAGGACAGACACCTGGTTATTGTCGGTAATCTCATAGATAATACTGGGCAGCATCAGTTGCTCGTCGCCGGCCACCTGCGCCGACTCATCCACATCGTCCGTCAGCGAGGGCACATTGTAGACATTAAATTGCGCTGTTGCCTCTGCTTGCAGCTCCTCCTGCTTCAGCTGCTGCTGTTGCTGCTGCTGCTGCTGCTGGTCTGCCTGCTCAAGCATTTGCTGTTGCTGATAGATCAGCTGCTGCAGCTGCATTGCATCCATGGCAGATAGCTGCGTCTGCTGGGGCTCCTCAGCATACACTTGTTGCCCATGCTGCTGCTGCTGCTGCTGGTAGAGTGCTGCAGCATATTCCGCTGCATCGGCTTGAATTGTGCCGTCGTCAAAGCGCAAACGTTTCGTAGTCGGCTCCAGCTGATCCGCTGACAACTGTTGCTGCTGTTGCTGTTGCTGCTGCTGTTGGGATGTGTCCAGAGCGCTCTCGTCGAAGGGCAGGTCCGACTCAACAGTGTTTAGGATCTCATTGATGAACTTGCTGTCGAGCATGTCCAGAGTCAGCGAAATGGAATTTTCATCGGATGCGTTATGCATTAGGGGCAGTGCATCCTCGGTGGCGGCTGAGAGGTCGACTTGATGGCGCTGCTGCAGTTGCTCCACATTCACCTGGCCAGTGATAGAGGACACTGCCTGATCCAGTTCGCTCAGCTGCTGCTGCTCCTGCTGCACGTAGATAGGCGTCAGTTGCTTCTCCTTGGCAGGTTTGCTGCGATGATGGGATGTGGCTTCGCCTGCTCCGGTCGTTTTCAGCTGCAAAGATTTGGGGCCAGTGCATTAAATGTTACATGATACTCGTATACCCATGTGCCATACCTTCTTTTTGCTTGGCTGATGCTGCTGCTGCTGCTGCTCGTCCAGCATGTTGTTGGCGGGTGAGTAGTTGATGCCGTGCTCGTTGCCATTGCCGTTGCCAGCAACTGTTGCCGGAGTCGGCGGCAGCGAGCACGAAGAATTCGATGACGAGGAGAAGACAGCTATACCTGGCTGGGCGCCGGCTGCTGCTGGCAGCTCCTCCTTGACGGCAACAACAGTTGCTGCTGCAACGGGTGCCGGTGCTGTGGCAGCGGTGGCTATGGCACTGCTCTTCTTGGAGCCACCCACCTTGGTGTGGTGCACATCCGAGTGGTGGCGATTCTTGGATGACTTGGAACGGGAGCGACCAGTGCTGCTGCTGCCGGTCTTTGAGGAACTGCTACTCTTGCTGCTGCTGCTTTTATGACGCGACGACGACGAGGACGAGGCCGAGGCCGAACTGATATTGGTGTTATTACTATTATTGATAGCTGCCAGGGAGCTGCTGGAGCCGTTCGAACAGCTGGACATGGTCGCCGACAGCGTGTCCGTGGGCGAGCCCAATAGCTCGCCATCCTGACTGCTGTCGGCGACGGAAGCAACTGTTGCTGTCGTCGCTCCGCCGGCGCTGCTGCTCAACTTGTTGGGTGCCGCATCCCAGATGCTCGGGTGCTGCAGTGCGATGTGATTGTTGAAACCGGCCTTGGTGTAGCTGCCATTGCAGGCGTTGCACACGACAATGTCACGTGTCGCCAGCTTCGGCACCATATCATAGTAGGCCATGTCGGAGGCATTCAGACGCTGCACCTGCACAACATGCGGAGCAGCAGTGCCGCCGGCAGACGAGGTCTTGCTGTTGCCGCGCAGATGTGTCTTCTCAGCTGCGCGTAGTTGCTTGATCACCTTATCCAGGTCGAAGACCTGCTGCCACTTCTGGCCCTGCATGCTGATCAAAGAAGGCGACAGCATGTTGCCCAGCTGAGCTGCAGCTGCAGCAGCGTTACCAATTGAATCCGACTTGGAGGAAGAGTTGGTCATGCCGGCTGCTGCAGCCCCAGTGGCTCCAGTTGTTGTTGTTATCGTTGTTGGTTGGGACTTGGCGTGTTTGCCGTTGCCTTGCTCCGTGTAGATTAAAGCTGCAGCCACATCACTCATGGGCATGTTTGATTGCTCTCCTTGCTGTGCCTGGCAGTGAGTGAATGATGCGAATGCAATGGTGGAAGCTGCTAACGGCCAATGTTGATGAGGAGGTTAACAGAGTTAGCTAGGCGACGCGAGTGGCATTGTCTGAGGAAACGAAATGGGAAAAATAAACAAATCTATTCGTGTTATCAACAACAATAGTCGCGCAGTGCATGCAAAACTGTGCTGCCGCTAAATGTTGCGACACATGCTGCTCGAGACGAACAGCTGAGCGCTGCTGTCACTGCAATCGCGAAGCCATCGGGTTGGCAGCTCTGGCACTACCAACACATATGCAAATTATGCCATCTTGCTCGCACACACGGACACACACTTACCCGTCCACAAAAAAAAACAAAGCCCGTTTAAAAAACAATTCACACAATAAATTCGACACTTTTCCCACAGCGTTCGTTCAGATAGTCGAAAAGCTCTGATTTGTACTTACATGTGCGTTATTGTTAACACAATTCCATTGTGTTCACTCGGCTTGCTGTTTAGCCAATTTTCATTCGCCTTGCCGTCGCCAGAGTTGTCACACTGTTTGGCCCGTCAAAATGAAAAGAAATCTGCATTTGCGTAGTGAGTCGATTGTTGCATATGTGATTTCGACAGCAATTTTCAAAAGTTAAAATATTGAATACTCTCAATGTTTTATTTCAAATGGTTTCCAAATGAAGCAGAATTAGTTACTCATAAGTGCAGTTGCGCTGCAGCAGTAGTTTAGCAAACCGATTAATAATAATCGATAGATGGCGCGGTGTTTGAACTAGGGAGAATAAGGAAAAAGTTCGTCTGTTACTTTAAACATTTTTATTTACTGTAACCATTTACTTAAATTAATCAATTTACACACAGTGGAGTGTATTGTACAGCAGACTCTATGGGCAAATGAATAAGTATTAACTAATCTCCATCTTTTGCACGTGAGTATATTGTAAATAACTACTATTCTGTCTAGTTTTGCTTAAGCAGCTTTCGCTGCAGCAGTTGCAATTCTGGTGCCCACACAATATTGTTAATAAATTCGCCCAGAAAGTAACAGATTACACTCAAAGCCACCAGGCCAGCAAACATTACAGCACGCAGCGGTATGGGCAAGATTTCAAGCAGGGGATAAACCCACTGGCCACTAAAATAGCGCACAATATTCACCCAAATGACGTAGAGAATCATAAAGGCCACGTTGCCAGTTACCCCGGCCAGGCGACTGGGATATCGCCGGAAGCAGGTGAACATATCCATGATGGCCAGAAGCGCAACATTCGTGTGAACTACATGATTCAGCCAGCTGCAATGAGCCAGTTCAATAATATCAATAATTAAATAAACAATAAGCATATGGTCACACTTACTTGGGGAATATTTCGTCCAAGGCGGCGGGAAAAATGAGCTCACGATCATATAAATAAATAACCCAAAACGAGATGCACACATTATGCGCAATGGGGAATGCAAACGTGGCGAATATATAATCACGTACTTGCCGTAGCAGAGACTTTGGCGCCACGGTCACCACATTACTGCCGAACAAATCATTTAACAACGCTACCGTGTGGTAAATGGCCTGCACGATAACATCTAGAAACGTGAGATACTTAAATTTGCCACCCCAGCGGGTTTTCAGCTCCTCCTCTTCATGCAATCCCTCCGGCCAGTCCAATTTGAAGAGATAATAATAAATGCCATAGCAGAATTGTGCAGCGGCCAGCAGGTGAACCAGAAAGCGCAGGTAGCTAAATGCACCGCTCGTGTAGGCCTCATTGCACGTCTCCAGCCGCTCAGTATTCGCTTGAGCGGCTTCTCTTATAGCGTTCTCCTCGCGTATTTTTTTCTTACTCTTGGCCATAGTTTAAATAAATTAATTAACAATATACGAACGCGGCGTTTGCTGGCGGTGCAGCTGATTGAGCTACCAGGGCTGCAGCAGCGGTATATGTGCTAACATTGTTTACAATAAACATAAGATATGCCCATATGACACTGAATGAATCTGATTCGTAACTATTAAGTAGCATGATCTGTCTTTATATTAATCAAACACAATAATTTAATACATAGTCATTAACTTTATAAGACAGAATGTAGGAAATATATCAGTCACTTGTTGAATTACCCTTTGACAATTGCATAAGAAACGATGTCGTATCATTCAGACATATTTTACACTGTTAACACAAAACAGCTGTTGCCTGTTGTTTTAACACAACACATACTGCATAATTGTGCAAAATTAGTTGGGAATGTGGAAGAGAGTGTTATTTAATGCACAAAATGTGCAGCAAGTACGTATAAATAGACTGTTAATTGTAGTAAATATTAAATAATTCTGAAAATTGCAGCTTAAAATTGTAAATATTCGCCAATTGGCAGCAAAGGCAACTGCACCCAAATTGTTGCAACTGGAACAAGTGCACATTGACGAAGCTGTTAAAATGGAGCCGGCGTTGGCAATTTATACTCCCGAAGTATGGCGACGGGCACACGAAACTTTTCAAAATCACGGACTGGAAACTATGAGCTTTCTTCGAATTGTTACTGGGAATCCAAATGTGTTGAAGCGCACGCCAGACCGAATAATTAACAGTCTAGAGATTTGGCGAGCCTGTCAGTTTGGCGAGAACTTGTTGCACCTCCTGTTGACCAAATATCCGGAGCTGCTGGACGTCACTGATGCCCATCAGTTGCTCACACTGAGTGCCTATTTGAAGAGTCGCCTGTCGACCAATAAAAACGTGTGGAAGGTGCTGATGAATAGTCCGGACTTGATGGCACAGCCGGAGGACTTGATAGAGGAGAAGTTGACTTATATGTTTGAAGAAATGCGCATTGAAGTTCCGGAGATTGTGAAGTCCTCTGCTTTATCCTTGCCTTTCGAGGAGTTGCGCTGTCGTCACACTTTTCTGGTTCGCTTGGGTTTGTTTAAGCCACGCCCACTTAAGGCAGATCCCAATGAGCCGACGACAAATCATAGACTATATCAGATAACGGATACCTCCGAGAAAACCTTTGCAACCAAAATATGTCATGTTACACTGCCCGAATACGAAGCATTCAAGGAACTGTTGGCGCGAGAATTGGAGCGCAAGTCAAGAAAAACTCAAGTTGAGGAAGAATTTAGTGATGAAGAAGTTTAGATTAAAATGTTATTAGGATCTGTGTTATGTACCTATTAAATTGATTGACAACGTTCTTTCTAATACAAATAGTTTTTTTATTGCTTTAAGAAGCTGTTAATTGTAGCTTGTTTATTTATGTTAAGTGGTTGCTTGCATGTGAATGGCAGATTTTGCTTCTTTATTTACGTTACTTTAACAGAGTATTCTGCTCGAGCAGCACGTTGACACGTGAATGGCAGATACTTGCTATCTTTGTCGAGTGGGTGGCATTAGGGGAATTTCATTTAAAATTTAATTAAAAGTCAATATTTTGACGTACTCAAAAGGCAGCTAGTTGTAAATTGTTATTAATATACTCAACATACACACATGGCCAGTGTATAGTAGCTGTCACATCGCATCTAGCCCAGCTGGGAGGCAACTTAAGCACACCCACAAAAAACCGAGAAATAAAAATTAATTCATGACAGCATGTCGGGTAATCCCTTTGATAGCACCGAGGAGGAGCCCAGCGCCAGCAGTGAGGAGATACTGGAGGGCTTTCTGTGTCCCATTTGCCGTGCCGATTTGAAGTCAATTGATTTCCTGACCGAACACTTTGCACGCCAGCACGCCGAGGAGCAGGATGCCCTCAAATCCGTTTTTAAGGATATCTTTACCAAAGCCAAGAAGAAGATTCTTAACAACTTTGATGATGAGCGCATTCGTGTGCCGCCAGCTGCCTCGCCGGCTGCTAGTGCCAGCAATGCAGCCAGCAACAATGGAACATCAGCCAAGCCAAGCAGCGGGAGAGCACAGCTAAATCTCTACCAAAATATGTCGAAGCAGACTGCGGGCGCTGAGCGCTCCCATTTCGATTATTTTCAAACGGTACGCAATCCCCGCCTGGAGCGCTACGCGAGCGAGACGAACAAGCTGATTATTCGACTGCATCGCCTACTGAAGGACCTGCCCACGGATGCAGTGCAGCGAAAGCAGCACGAGCAGCAGACTGTGCCTTGGCTGGATGGCAGCTCTGTCAAGCTCTGTCCCAGCTGCGCGAAGAGCTTTCACATCGCAAGACGACAGCATCATTGCCGGCTCTGCGGCGGCATCATGTGCAACGATTGCTCCCGCTTCTTGCAGTTGGAGAATGCATGTGAGCGGATATATACCCAAATCCCATTAAATTTAGCTTCTATATTTATGTTTCTTTATCTGTTGCAGTGCACTTGGCTAGCCTGTCTAGCACACGTGGCGAGCCTCTGCAGCAACTGCAGCATCCGGACTATCGAGCCATACGTCTCTGCCAGCATTGCCTGTGGCTCCTGGACACACGCCAAGACATGCACGAGAGTCGTACCTGTCGTCCGCTGCTCGTCCAGGTCTATGAGGAAATAAGGCAGCTACAGAAGCAGGTGACGCCCGATCTGGAGATGTATTTAAAGATCGTAAACAGCCTGCACGAAGGCGAGTCCATATTCACACTGGCTGATGCAAGCGCACTACGTGGAAAGATCGGGCAGGTGGCGGAGAAAATGGATTTGCGCAGCAAGCGCATCTTGACCATACACTCGGAGCCGGGTAGCCGCGAGGAGGCGCTCAAGAAGGCCATAAGATTAAGCTGTATACAAGCCATCAAGGAGCGCATGCTCTCGCTGCCGCCTTTGCCGGATGAAGGATACATAAGGCAGATTCAGGAGCGCAAGCGAATCGAAACGGAGCAACGGATTCTGACAGAGCAGCGCATGGCCATGGAGGCGCACGAGCGCAAAGGATTGACGGTCCAGGCGGGAGTTGCACCAGAAAGTCGCAGCTTTGCCCAGGGCGTAAGCTTATAGCAACTAATATTTATTTCAATAACTAATTCGTATATCTTTTCAGTCCGATCTGCAGTCACTGAACAATTGGTCGGCGCCACAAGCCTCGACGACTGTCACAATGGTCGATGATCCGCTCATCGAGCAAATCAACATAATCAAAGGGTACATTAAGCAAGCACGTGAGGATCTAAACTTCGATGTGGTCGAGACGCTGGAGCTAAATCTACGCGAGCTGCAGCGCGAAGTCTACGAGAGGCAGCGACAGTCGAGCAACAGCGCCCGAACTGCTCAGTCGGACAGCTAAGAATGCCTAGATACGTACATAAGCACGCCTACAGTATGCATATATATATATGTATATGCCTCTATGCCTAAATTATTCGCTTAAGTATGCATGAGTGTATAATTGTGTTTTATATATCCATTCCCGCTTTTGACAACAAAATAAATGTGCAAATTGATTTCTGCGAGTGTATTTTGTATTAGCTAAAGCTGAAAACTCGATAATTGTGTTTCCGCCTGGGCTGTTTATATCCATATGCTTAACAAACGAAAACAGTTGGAAAACACATGCACGCATGTATGTATGTATGTTTGTCAATCAGAATGTGCAAGTACTCAAATGCATACAAACATACATACATACATTATTAAATAGATGCGTACTGTGTTTTTGGCGTGCGTATGTATTTTGTGCTAATGACGAAATATTGTGCGTATTACATGTGAGAGAAATGCATTTCCAACTGGATTGTTATACACGAAACACATAATCCATATGCTTAGGACTTTAGACCCAGAGACGCAATCAGAGATTTCACTTTGGTGATGTAGGCAGTTCGGGCGTCGGCTTGGCTGGTGCCTTTCAACTTGTTCCAGGCCTCCCATTTGGACTTGCCCTTGAAGTCGAGGAAACCAGGTTTTTCTGCGCACCGTACATAGTAATTATTAATAATTAAACAGCATTAATATTGTAGAAAAGTCAATTTTCACCTGTATTGCAATCGCCCACATTGGCCTGCTTGTAAAGCCCGTATAGTTCGAGTAAATCGCTGTCAGCCGGTGTGCTGCTCAAGTTCTTGACATCCTCGGCAGCTTGGTTGAATTCCTGTTAAATTTATGGGTATTATGGATATTAATTTACTGTATTTAACGCTAATTTTACACTTTTATACCTGTAGTTCCGACATGATTATCTATATAATTAACTATACTAATGTCCATCTCTAGGCGACCGCGATAGTTGACACGAGAGAGAACCTCTGTTAATGAACAGACCCAGGGCCGGCAGTTGTATAGGAAATCAACGTATTGTGAACATATTTATTATAATTGTATAAATGTTTACTGTTACATATATTTATATGAACAAAATTTAAAATAAATACATTTAATCAAAACTTGGTGTATTGTATATTGAAATTACCAACTTTGTTTCACTTCCCGCCAAACGTGCAACACTGCCGGTTAACAGCCACAAGCCATTCGGTTAACAGCCGCAACTCAGCTTACAGCTGTTATTATTACGCGTCGAACTTGCACAACGAACGGACGTGTTTGCGCGTGGGCGCCTAGTACGACGAAAAAAAATCGAAATCAAAACGCAACTAGAAGAATTTAATAATAGCCCAAACACAACAAACATCGTGTATGCGTGCGTGAGTGTGTGTCAAAGTGCAGTGTGACGCCGCACTATAGTGTAATTAGCAATAAATAATTGCGAGCGCAAAATCAAAAAGAAAGTGCCAAAGAAAAAAGAAAAGTAAACGCAGAGCGATTTGTTATTGCTAGAAATTTGTTGTGCGTTCACCCGTTGTGTGCAAGTGTGTGTGTGACTGTGTCTGTGTTCTGTTGTTGCTGTATCGGCGCGCGAGGCGCTGCTTATGCAAATGTGGTATGATTATGAATTTACCTAGCAACTAGTATCCGATCTATAGATTGATAGGCCTATATATCGTTCTACATACACATATACATATGTGCCATGGGCCGTACTAATTGGCCAGCAACACGTAACTGTTATTTTAGAATTTGTATTAAGTTGGCTGTTTTCGAAATTGTGTTTAGCGTGTGTGTGTGCGTGAGTGTGTGCCAGTGTGTGTGAGTGCTTGCATCGATTCCTTTGCTGCGCTGCCGGCGTCGACTATTCTAGCATGCGATAAATTTATAGCCCAGCTGCAACGTTGCCCTTGGCATGTTGTTGCTGCTGTTTTATGTGCGTTTTCGTTAGCTAAACAAATTTTAGCTACCAGCTATAACAATTGAAGTGCGAAAAGCAAACAAACAAGCAGCAACAACAACAACAGACGACGAAAACAACGACAGGCAACAAAGTCGGCATTTGATTTTCCATTCAAATGCGGCATTCCATGTCATTTCCCCTTCCCCCACTCATCTTCCTTCCTGCTTTCCGCTTTGGTCTCGCTTTTGTTTTTGTTTATTTACTGTTTTTTTTTTCTTTTCATTTCTTTTTGGTAGATCTAATCAAATGTTAGTGTAAAGCGAGTCATTCATTATATTTAGCTTAAACAAATGTTTTCTCTCTCTATCTCTATCTCCCTCAGTCTCACAGTTTGGTATATGTGTGTAGATTGGAAACGAATTTGGCTTTTTTAATAGCAAAAGAGCATATTTTACTTTTTTCCTTTGCTATAGAAATTTGTTGGGAAATCATTTCGTTTGAAATGCATTTGGGCATAATGGATTCTACAATTTTAGAATATAGAGTGAATTTTTCTTTCAATAAACCCATTGAATTTAAAATATTTTCAAGGTAAAATTTTGAGAAAGACATAAAAAGGATGACGAAAGGGTAGAATAGGAAAAATAATATTGATAATTGAAAGAAATTGAAAAAGAATAAGAAGCAGAAGAGTAACATAAAGATCAAGAAAAGTGTGGAGAAGTAATCATTAAGAATCTCTCTCTTTCTCTCTCTGTCACACAAAGTGTGTCTGTATCTCTCCCTCTCCATGTCTCTCTCTCTCTCTCTCTCTCTCTCTCTCTCTCTCTCTGTGCCTCATATTTCTCACTTTCCTTTTCAGTTGCTTTGTTTATGCAGCTGTTGCTCTATTTATAATTTCATTAACGCCATTTTATAGCACTCACTTGACTTTTAACAGTTTATTATGGCACTCGGATAATCGCAATTTGTCTTGACAGACTTTCGTTTTGCTTTTCTTCTCTTCTTCGCGATATTTGCAATGACACTTAACGAGCCCTTAGAACCAACATTATCTCTCTTTATTGATAAGCTCTGGGTCTATTCACATTCACATTTGATTTCTTATGATTCATGTTGACCCACTCGCTGGTGTTCATTCAGTTCAGTAAAGAGATGGGAGGGGATATGAGCTGAGGGAGCGTATTGAAGGGGGTAGCCCAAGTCTTATCAGCTCACACTCGAGATCCACTTGACAGCAGTTTGCCCCCCTTTTGGAGCCGCGTTTGACAATGAGCTCACGGTTGAGTGCTATAGATGCGATACGGAATCAAGTTGTTCAATTGAACGATTTAGTGAACCACTAAAATTGTTGAGTGGCAAAGCTAAATCAATTATGAATTAGACTAATTACGTATTGCTTGAGATTTCCACTATTCAGGAACCATACTGAACTGATTCACTGATCAGTGATTAAGCAAAGTTCTGGCGCTTTCGCGAACTAGACTTTCTGCTTTGGTTAAGGTACGCTCCATTAGCATAGAGATCTTCCACTGTTCAGGTTCTATCGCGCTACTCAGCTGTTTATCTTGAGCAAATAAACATATATTATTTAGGAATCATATCTGCAGCAATACAATATAGTAATAGTAGCTTTAAATTCATAGAATATTGCCTACAATTCGAGATTCGTGCTATTTATGAAAAGGATTCGTCAAAGAATTACATTTTTCAAATTTCCATGTGCTTTAAGTAGATTTCTTTTGAGCTTTGAGTGAACATACGAAATGAAGTCTGTTTTGCGCTTTTCGTTTCTGTGTGCTCTCTGGTGATTCAGTTGCTCAGTTTCTACTTTTATTTCGCACTTTGCGTTTTCACTGCCTCTTTTGCACTTATATATTAGAATTTTAATCTAATGAGTGAGTGAGTCATTTCATTGACCTCTTAATGCTCTATTTCACCAAAGGCGAGACGCTGTTATATTATCAATCTACAATATTTACTTTGCTACTTGTGATACGCTGTGATTAAAGTATAAATTCTTGTTTATAAAAGAGATCATCATAATCAAATACATATTTGTTTATGGGAAATGCTAAAAATAGCTCCGTTATCGCAGTATTCACCTGAATGTCAATTTCCTTCTCTTTGCTCTATTAATCTCTATTCCACTGGGATCTCAACTTGAACCCTACAACCTTCTGTCGGGTCGCTACTTTCTCCTGTTTGTCTTTCGCATCAGTAGAAAGTGTGCCCTGGATAACTTCTAATAATTTTTGCTGCTGTCAAGTAGGCCGAGCGAGAGCTGGATATTCATGTCCCTTGAACATACATCATTGTAAAAGTCAAGTTACAACTATTAACAGTTACTAATCTGAAAAAAAAAAAAAAAATAATATTTGTGAAAAATGTCTGTGAACGAAAAAGCCGAAGCCACAAAGCCGCCAACTTTAACAGTTGAGGACAAAGTGGAGACTGTGGCTGAGAAAGCCAGCGACACCGTCACCTCTACCATTACCTCTACCACTATCAGCACCACTAGCAATGCCATCGAGACCACTCCTAGCACCACCGCTACCAATGCAAATCCACCATTCGAGCTGGACATCGTGATCAATAACGTCGTCTGCTCGTTCAGCGTTCGCTGCCATCTGAAGCTGCGGGAGATTGCGTTGCACGGCTCCAACGTGGAGTACCGTCGGGAGAACGGGATGGTGACCATGCGCTTGCGTCGTCCCTATACGACGGCCTCGATCTGGTCGTCCGGCCGCATCACCTGCACGGGCGCCATCTCGGAGGCGCAGGCCAAGGTGGCGGCGCGTCGCTATGCTCGCAGCTTGGCCAAGCTGGGATTCCCGGTGCGCTTTCAGCATTTTCGCATCGTCAACGTGCTCGGCACGTGCAGCATGCCCTGGCCGATACGCATCGTCAACTTCTCGGAGCGGCACCGCGAGAGCGCCTGCTATGAGCCGGAGCTGCATCCGGGCGTCACCTTCAAGATGCAGGAGCCGAAGGCCACCCTCAAGATATTCTCGACGGGCAGCATCACGGTGACGGCGGCCAGCGTGAGTGCCGTGGAGACGGCCGTACAGCGTCTGTATCCGCTCGTCCACGAGTTCCGCACTCGACCCCTGAACGAGATCCTGGACGATGGCAAGATGAAGCCGAAGTTGCCCAATCTTCTCAAGCGTCCCATGCCATCCCATGCCATGGCCGGCAATGCCATCTCCAAGCTCATGCCCACGCCCGTGGACATGTCCATGCCCATGCCACTGTCGCTGCCCGTGGCCCCGCCCATGCGCATTCCCATGCTGAACGTGATGCCCGGACTGAAGCGCGAGCAGCCCACTCCGCCGCCGAAGAGTGCGCCCAGCGAGAACATCTGTGGCAATGCGCGTCGTCGCGCCGCCGAGTGCTGGGCCAGCAAGCTGCAGAAGAAGCGTCCGCGCTTCAACGACGCCGGCGCCATGGCCATCCTCAACGCCAACAACTTGGCCCGTCAAAACCAGCTGCTCCGCAAGGCACCCAACAAGCCGGACGTGAAGTCCACAGCCCTGGGCGGCGAATTGGAAAGCAGCGCGACGGATGATGAAAAGAAGCATTCCTAGATCCCTGAAGATCAAATAAAACTCTCCCACTCAAGAGAGCCGTTATAAGTACTGTAATAAACTTGTATCTCATAATTGATGTAACTAATGTCAATTCCATATTATCCCAAAGATGTGTGAGATTAAACATAGCTAACTGGAAATGATGAATGATTTTAATGTACTTAAAGTTGAGATGGGTCTAATGGCACTTCTTAGCGATTTCCATTATGCAATGGAAATGGGAATGGTTTCTTTTGAAAACGCCTGGCGCAATCCATATGCCTTGCCTGTGCGTACTCATGAAAATCGTAGGGAAAGACAGCAGCTGATTTCGCTATCTATTGCATTTATAGACCTAACTCCAGCTCACTCCAGTTCTTCGCTTCCCTCTGTATTATCTTGCTGCCATCGTATTATGAGAATCGCAAAGAGAGGTGGCTCGTCTCTACTTCTATTATATGCTCTCCTAAGCACTAGATGTGAATTCTAAGGAATCTTAAGCATGTCTGCCGTTCTTCAATTATTTCTTCTTGATTCATGAGAATCGCATAGAAAGACAACTTTATATTAATGAACTACATACGTACTAGGTATGAGCTAGTAAATTTAGCAAAGAAAAGTGAATGTCTTATCTGCTCTACAATGCCTCTTCTTCCTTTGCACGTTATGAGAATTGCAAAGAGAGGCTCGCCTACGAACTAAATGAGAAATTATGCGCACTGCGTGGAAAGTCTCTTTGCCCTCTTTCTGCTTCGTCCTCATGCTCGAAAATCGCAAAGAGACGAGCTCAGGCTGCTTCTCCTTATAGGAATCACAATGAAATTTGAATTATAACGGATTTTTTCTTTAAAGTAACGTAAAGTTTGACTACCCCACATACCTATATAAATATTTGTCCATCAAGTTAATTTCATTTTCTGCCATTTCCATTTCCATTTTCACAAACATTTCGAGGGATCAAAAGCTTGCAATTTCGATAGCCATTAATTGGCTGTTTAAACAATGATTTGTTTTAATTAGCGGGTATTTGCTTGGGCTGGAAATGCTTTCCGTTCGATTCGATTTGAGTTTATGCGCCCGCAGCTTTTCACGGCCAGTCAATCAATATTGACACGGAGTGTGATTTATGGCCATCGTTAGGCACTCATATGCAATTGTCTATGTGTATGATATGATAAACCCATTCATATCTATGTCTATATGTATATAAATATCTATCGTAATGCCAGCTGAGCTCCACTGGGCCTTATCTCATTTAGCTGACTTTTCACATTTTGTTTCATTTATCAGTTTTTCGTTTCCGTTTTCGCGTTTTCAAACAACAACAACAACAACAACAGTTGCTCAAATTAGTTTTGGTTCCAGCTTTTTTTTTTCTGGCCCAAAACTGTTTTCACTGTCAGCGTTAAAAGTCATTTGCCCCCGCCCCAACTATGGAGCACCTCTGAACCCGTCTCTGTCTATCGAAAAGTTGGCAAGCCGAAAAATTTGCAGCTCTTATTGGCCAGCCCCGAAACCCGTACTCAGCCTCAATCTCCTTCTCATTGATTCTCGAAAAATGCGCCCTCAACATTACGGGGCTTTTCATATATCTAGTATAGTGCTTTTTTTTTGGGTAGGTTAGGCATGGGTGGGCAACCACATTTATAAAACTGCAACAGCTGCAGTTATTTTTGCAGCTTGTTTGTTGTCGCTGATGTGGCTGCGCCGTTGCTGCACTTGGCTAGATGGGCATTACGCTTTTCTCATAGATATAGTCATCAAAATGGGTGCTGATATGGAAATCACTTAGAAATGAAGCTTAATTTAGCGCGCTATTTGCCTGTTCTTATTTATTTAAGTTAATGTGAGTCATTGGACTGTTTAAATCAGTGAGAATCACTGAGAGAGGCAGTGCAATTTAATGTGATTATTTGCCTGCTGTTGATGAATGAGAATCACAGAGAAAGGCGGAGCAGAGTGAGTAGTCAACAACTATTATACACTTGAGCTTAGAATTTGTAGATATACGAAATATGTTTTTAAATTTGTAGAATATAAAAGACGTAATATACATATATAGATAATAATACTATATAGATTTTAATACTTGACTTTTTAGTGCCTAACTTCTATAGAATAAGTTCCGAATGGTTAAGGTCAGGTCAGAGTTAGAGCATTGCAACTTCGACTTCTTCATGTATGACTGTGTCTATTCTCTATATCGTTGTTTCTCTATTCTCTATACCTAGCGCCCCCTCGTCGATGTTTTCTGCATCAGTGGCACATTTTCAATTGAATGCAACATATTTGACTTTTCGATTTTTACATAGACTAACGGCTGTTGCCAAGCGAATCTGAAATATTTGAAAAGAAATTCGCATTTCTGTTGCTTGTGCTAAATGTTTTCAATGTCGTATTGAACTTGGCTATGTTGAACTGATTTTACGGCGATTAGTTATATATGTCCTTATTTAATAGGTGGTTGAGTTAACTGGAAAATTATTATCTATTTTCTATTTTAGCAGAAATTTCATACTCCTTGTAAATTTTTGTTTTTCTTATCTATTTGGTTTACTTGCCTCAAATGCGCTAATTACAAATTGCTTTCGACTAGTTCCGCTCTGACTTGTCCTTGAACTAGTTCCGTTAAGGCTGAGACAATGTCAAGCAAAAATCTTGCGACTCGCCTTATAAGTTAGATTCGTTCTACTTAAGTGATATTACGATTTTTTTTTTTAGTTTTGTGAGTTTTAGTTTTTGCATGATATTTAAACTTTTTTTTTTTTATTGTTTTTAAATGCATAAAAATTTATTATATTTTCTACTATGATCAAATTTGTTTCTTACTTATATATACAATACTTATATGCAGGTTTACTTACCTATTGGAACTTGTGAAATTGATAGATGCATAGATTTTAGATATGTTCATAGAAAATTAATAATTTAAGTTTCAATATTAATACAAAAGTTGATAACTTTTACTCTACTGCCTTATCAGTATAATTATGCAACTCTGTTGGCATTGAACTAGTCTTGGAAAGGTTAAGAAAGGAAAGATTCTGGAAGTGATCAAGCATATGTTTTATCCATTCGGTTTTATCTAGCTCATAGACAGCTGCATCTGGGGGGAGCAACAGCCGCAGTTTGTTGTCAAGGTGCCTTCCGTGTTGGCTCGCTACCTGGCCAAAATGCATCCCAACAACAGCAGCAGCTGCTGCTATTGGCCCTCTTTTGTTACCTGTTTCAGTGCGGCTCGAGAACTATTTGATGAAATAAAATTCTACACATGCGGCTCGGGGTTAAGAACTCGACGAAATGCCTCAACAATTTTTGGCGTTTGTTTCGTTTTTGCGTCATCGCTGGCGGAAATGCTCATGTGTATAAACATATACTATATACATATATATACTATATACATATATATACTATATACATTTATGTATACTCTATGGATGTAAGCTGTGTCTAAAATATTCAAGTCGGGCTTCCTAAAGGTTTATTGTTTGTTCTGCTTAAGTTTTTTATTTAGCTTTTGCCGGCCTGCAAAACTTGTTTTCTAAAATGTTTTATTACACACTCAACTTTGAGCTGTATAAACGTAATATGTATACACAAACTCATATAAATATATATGTATGTGTATAATTTGGTATTCTGCTAGATTCTTTTTTAATTAGCAAATAAATTTATCGCCTTTATTTCTCGTGTATTTATTTCTTTGCTGCTGGATATTTTGAATATGTGCTAGACGTCTTATCGTCTAGTTGGGTATTGTGCTCTATAGGTATGTCTGTATGTATATACATTTTACATATATACGAGGTTTGCTCACTAAGTAACACGAAATTTATGGTTTTTGCTCAAATTATTTATTTTAGAAATCATTTTTGCTACTCCTACGATGCCGTCATTTTTTCCTCAGTCTTGCCGTAGCTTCGTTCTCTAATGGGATTTTCAATTCAATACTTTTTCAACAGATTTCGCATATGCATATGAATTCTAGCTATATGCCAAAAGCTAATGTATTCTACGCTCTTAGCATTTAAATGAGCTAACATTAGCATATTATGTTGAATTACATATTTACATGAGGTGGAAACTAACTTAAGCTGTGGTGAATTTGTATGCTAGGATGTCTTTTATTATGCTGATGATGAATGCTATGTTATCCTCTTGGCCTTATTATGTAATGTTAAATAACATTTACGTAGTTTGTTAGCTAAGATATTGTTGAATTATTCTTAACATGATCTGTAAATATGTTTAACATGTTCAAGATTAATATATCAAAAGCCTTGTGTTTGTATACATCATTTGAATACTTGTACTTATTTATTATCCATGTATGTGTGTATGTTTACTCATGCGTTTACTTAGTGGCATAGCCGTGAGAGAATTCTAAATGAATTGAATTTATTTGCTTTTGCTCGTGGTGACGCCTCGATGCGTTTGCTCTGTGCAAATATTTTGTATTTAGAAATGTGCTTGATGATTATATGCATATTGTTGGCTTTATAATCGGATTGTACATATATACATATATATACATATGTAGATACCTTTGTTTATATATGCCAGTTGTATCCGAGGAGTAGGTCCAAGTGTTCAATGACGCGTTGGCTGATTTTTGCCACGCTTCACTGCCGTGAAATACTTTACAAATACAACAATATTAAAAAAAAAATGCGAATTATATATGCACATAGTGATATATAATTCTGTATAGAGAGAGAATTCTAGATAAGCGTGGGTGGCAATGTGTGCGTCTTTTATATAATATAAAATATATGTATGTATGTATATACGCTTGCATAGAATTTTATTTTTGGGATTTCGTTTTGTTTGTGCTTTTTCTGTTATTCAATTTGAATCTAGTTTCCTTTTGACAAAGGCGACTAGAAATGCAATTCTCTTAATTAGAATAAAGAAGAGGTCAAGCAAAATTGTTGAGGTAGATCATAAATATATAAAAATATATTTCTGAAAAAAAAAACTTTGAGACAACTTGTCGCAGTCTTTATGAGAGAAAGAAA